GGGGCGTCCTCCCAACGTGAAAAAGCACTTTATCAAATGTAAGGTTTATTATAACTGTTGCTAAATGGCAGTCCCAGGAGACAGGACTTTGGTCATAACTTTGTTAAAATGAAATATTCAAAAGCCAGGTCTGTGCTGTAAGGTGACATTCTGTTACAAAAGCAACAATTTTCATTAATGTAATATTGCGCCTTTTACATCGAGAGGATATCTCATAGCCTGAGCTGCGAGTTTGGTGGGTGGGGCGGGGGGGGTCAACCGCAGAGGAAGATGTCTGAAAACGCAATCAAAATGATATATTTTGAAGGTGGGGAGGGAGAGAGGGAGGGAGGAGAAGGGGTGAGAGAGTCTCTGGGATGGAATTTTTCCAATTGAGCAAATGAGGTGTAGAAATTGACAGCACGAAAGGTTAGAAACTCTTTGGCACATGTTTCTGTGCATCGCTCTTCATTCGCTCACACACTGAATTTGTTCCTCAGATAAACATACTTGTGAAGTCTCTGAAAGGGTTAACCTTACATCATGTCAATGATTAAGACAACCCCATGTGATAACATTCAATACCGTGGACACATCAGCAGACGGTAGAGACAGTGAGTGTCAGATGTCACTCACTGAAGCTAAAAGTGACCACGTGTCAGGGCAGGAGAAATTACCATCACAGATGTTTAAGTTCCAGTTTTAAGAACAAACTTGGGAACTCTCAGCCAGAACCAACTCTGTTGGGGAAGCCTCGACGCAGCAACGCTCTTGCACGTCTTTCAGCCGTCCAGTGAGAGGCTAACAAACAGCCGCTGCTTCCTGTCTGCATGTCTCACGTCTGTCACTGAGGATGTGGTTTGAGACAGCTCAACAATCTGGTGGCACCATCTGCCTCCCCCAAAGGGACATCTCTACCCTCTGGCAAAAATTATTCTCAAAGGCCTCGTCTTACCCTAGAATTGTTTTTTATAGCACAGAACAAGGCCACTTGGCCCATCAATGTGAGACTATTACGTCTTAAAATGTTACAACATCAACAGCTTGTATTCATATAGCGCCCCTCATACATGGTAATGTGCCGAAGCTCTTAATTTAAGACTTTTCGCAGAATTGTGCAAAAGCCCTTCGCTTCAGGCTCTTTTGCTAAATAACTATAGAAAAACAACTTCCAAATTAGGCTGAATTTAAGAATTTTTCCGTAATATTGCGCCATCTTTGAAGACAGAAAAGAGACTAGTGTGAAATTTTTGTGTTTGAGTGTCTATGTCCCCCAATCCCCACACCTTCCGCCCCAGGGTGTACAGGGAGTCTACAGGGAGGTCAGCAATGTTCAATAACACTAATAAATCTCCACAACGGTTGAGAAAGTTGAATCAGGAGTCTCCAGAGCTGATCACCTCTTTCTCGTTCACACAAGTCATCAATGTCGGCGCCGAGGTCCTGTGGCAAGTGTTTCCAACGCTGGTTAATACAATTGATTAGTACGTTTGCCTTCCCCTTCCCTTCCCTCCCTTCTTGTAAGCTCAACAGTGCAGTGTAAGCCCCGCATAGCCTTTGCCATGACACCCTGCAGGCCAGCATCTCACTTGTTGTTTCAATGGAGACCCAACATCACTGGAGAGTGTGAACTGAACAGGAGCCAACTGCAGAGCCGTCTGTGGGGCTTTTTAAGCCGCTGAAAATGTGAAGAGTTTGCCAAACGGATTTCTCTCCCCTGGATAACTCCATGCTGCCAACATTATGATCGCAATTGCTGATCCACACCATTAATATGCTTGTCATCCTGTAAATGGGATCCCAGACACGAATGCCTTATTCAGTAAGTAAACAGATTGATAGCTCACCACTCTATCACGTTATGATCTACAGCACCATGTGCTTTGGCAAAGAGAAAAGTTGTATCAGCCATAAAGGGAAAAGCAACAACAACAACTTGCACTTATATCACGCACCGCCACCCACCCCCCACTCGCCCTCCTCACCTCCCTCGCAGGGTAGCATCTCAGGAAAAATTATATGGATGGAGTGTCCTGCACCAGTTAAAGAGAAGGTGTAATAATAAAATAACAATAATACTTCCATTTGATATAGAGCCTTATCACTTAGTTGAGTCGTCCAAAATACTTCACAGGATATGCTGTAAAATGGATTGACTGAATATTTTGTGGGCAAAATGTGGTAGCCAATTGTGCACAGCAGAATCCCACAAACAGTGGTGGGTTGAGTGACCAAATGTTTTTTTTGAAGGGATTATTATCCTTGGAAAAGCAATCCGCCAATCGACTAAGTTGGTTCCTATTTACTGCTAGGTAACTAGAGACGGGTGGAGTAAGGAAACTTGCCTAAGCTTTCGCCCTGTTCAGGAATTGAACCCAAGTCCTCTCGCTTGTGTGGTGAGCTGGCTAACCACTACAATACAGAACTTCAACACCCATTTGAAAGGAGTGACTCATACAGTGGTACAATGGCATTAAAGTCTCAGAGGCAACGGGTAAGAAAAAAGCAACAGCCTGTGTCCACCCACCCAAGTCGATGAAGAAACTGAGTTTGAGGTGTTAATTACTCAGCACACTTGAGGCATCAGTGAGTCAGGCCACGAGGTTGAGTTCAGCCCAGTGCCTGTTACTGAATCCATTCCAACACCACTTTACCCCAGTATTTGCTTGTGACTTACTGCAGTTTTATTGTCACAGTAACACAGAGCAAACTCTAATAAAGATATCAGCAGCGTCCTGGTGTGTCTAAATACAGATGGAATCAAATTGGGAAGTTTATAAGGAAGGTAGATGGGTGGATACTTGGGAGGGAAGGAAGGGTGTTAAAGGGAAAGGCGGGGAAATGGGATTAAGAGATCTGTTGTGAAGTAACAAACTAGCATAACACACGTGAAGGTCAGTGTCCTCCTCTCAGCCCTGATCGAGTGTTTACGTGGTGCATTCCCCAAGCTGTGTTGTCACAAATGGGACCATTTTCACAGAGGTCACATCATGTACAGTGTTTTTTGTGACTTGTGACACACTATTGATTATCAAAGTCAGAGCCTGCAAAAAACAAGTTCTGAGGAGAATTCAGGTACAATAGTAAATAGCACCAGCTTTAAATCCAATTGAACAATGCATGAAACTTAAATTTATATGCACTGTGGACAGAATACTTATGAAGACGACGCAAGGAAGAGTTCATAGAATCACACAGCACAGAAGGAGGCCATTCAGCCCATCATGTCTTTGCCAGCTCTTTGAAAAGAGCTTCCAAATCAACCCCACTCCCCTGCTCTTTCCCCATAGCCCTGCAAACTTATCCTCCCCAAATGATTATCTACTCAGCTCACACTGGTTGAGAAGCTGCTCAGAATCACTAACACCTACAATGCTCCTGCATCACTTGGTCCTCTCCTCTTCGATATCTATATGCTGCCTCTTGGTGACATCATCCAGCGCTTTGGGATGTGCTCCCAACATGAAAGGCGCTTTACACATGGATTTTGTTATTGCTGTTAACAATAAATTCTGCAGTCGACAGCTTTCCTTGAGATGGCTATTGTTAAGAAGAAGGTTGGGAGAAATCCTGTATAATTACTGCTGTGTTCATTTATACAATCTTGTCCACCTCGCGTGCACACACGCTCCCCTGTTAGCAGCGATTCTGCCATCTTACCTGGCCCCAAAATAATTGAATTGTTATTTTGAGTTACAAACCAGTCATTTTCTGCTCTGACCTCAGTAAACTGCTTATTACATTGATTCCCTTGGATTCTACATTTTGATAAAACCATCAGGATTTTAGGAACAAAGTACTCTATTCACAACACACAGCGTGGCAAATACCTCTCCAGCTATAGGAAGGGGGGAGGGGGGGACGAGATTGCTAGATTTGCAAACAGATTGGCAAATAGTGATACTGGGATTTCATTTGGTCAGAGATCTCCTGTTAGACACCAGGGCTGTGAGGTCAATACTGAGATTGAGGTCCGAGCGATCTCCCACACCCCCTCCTCCACCCTGGTCCTCTACTTCCCCCTCCCTCCTTCCCCGCCCCAGAGATGTGCATGATTCACTATTTACTGCTGTGCGCAATTGGTTGCCGTGATTCACCCACAAAATGCACAGTCAATCAATTTTACAGTATATCCTGTGAAGCGCCTTGAGAAGTCTCAATGACATAATAAGACGCTGTATCAATGGCAAGGATTATTATTATTATTTACTAAGCTTTTTTTACAAATGAGATTGAACAATTCTTGCATTTCATTTGATATAGCACCTTATCATATGGTCGAGATGTCTCCAAGCGCTTCACAGGATTCACTGTAAAGTGGATTGACAGTGTAATTTTTAATTTTATGTTTCACACACACACCATTACCTTTCTCACTCCCCTACCACCACCCAATCCCCTGGGAGTTATTTCAGTGATAACGCCACCTGTCAACGGGACATATTTATAGACCTGAGCAGAAATATTTGTGCTGAGCTGTTCACTTCTAAAAAAAACAGATAAAGTAACTAGTATGGTTAATTAGTAATCACTATCCTCACTCTAATAGTAACAAGCCCCACTTCTACATAACTGCACACATATCCTGCACACACACACATATACACACACATAAATATCCTGCACACATACACATACCCTTCTCACGCACACACATACACACACACATATCTTGCACACATACACACACACATATACACAACCTGATACATGGTGGAAATAAATTCAATCTCCCTGGCATGTCAGAGCACATTTTGAAAAGCATTAATTTATAATGAGCAGAACGTACAGGCCAGCATCTGTGTAATTTGCCCGAGAGGGGTTGTTATATGGTTCCAACAGCTTAGAGACCTGCTTTGACATCTCCTTTCAACTTAATTGTTGCCGTGTTTCGCCCACAAAACACACAGTCAATTAACAATATATTCTGTTTTGAGACGTCTTAACGACCCAAGAAGGCGCTACGTCAAATGCAAGGAATATTAATATTATTAATAATTATTACTAGTATAGTTACTCACATCAGAGTCTTGCTTCTTCTCACTTACAGAGGTAGGAAACTTGTTTTCTCTGTGTGTTGATAAAGAAAAAAATGATTTTCTCCTGGCTGCTCTAAATTCCAGTCAGTGACAATCACGCACGTTAAAGTGATAGATGTGCTGCAGTGTGTTGTCTAAAATCCTTGGAAATGTTTCACTTAAACTGAGCTTCAGAGAGTGTGTGAGGGGGTGGGGGGCAGGACTTGGCTGTGGGACACTTGTCCAATGAGCAGTCAGTCAGTCTCCAACTCCTGCTGTTTCTCTATCGCTAACTCTCCCTCACACACAGTTACAAGGAATCAGGATGACCCCATGTGGAAACCTTCCGATCAATGTCATGAACAGCCTTGTAGTTCCAGCTCAGCCGAACACCGCTCGACAAGCCACTTGCCTGTTTGTCAGGTCCAAACGTTCAGTCTAATCCATTGCCGTCAACAGAGGTGTCAATTCCAAGCACAAGGTGAGGTGTTCCCGAGTGACAGAAACGAGCCAACGTGCTCCGGTCATTCATAACCACAAGGTGTTGTATCGCCCCAGGATCTTCACCCCCTTTTCCAGGGTTTAATATAAATGAATGCTGAGTCAAACAGCAGTTTGAACCAGGAGTGACAATTGCTTAAAACATCCACAAAAATAGTAATAATTATAATAATGATTATTATGATCATTATTATTATAATGATCCTTACATTTGATATAGCGCCTTATCACATCATTGAGATGCCTCAAAGCACTTCACAGAGTACACCGTAGAGTGAATTGACTGTGTATTTTGTGGGTGAAATGTAGCAGCCAATTGTGCACAGCAGTGGATTGAAAATCCTGTGAAGCACTTTGAGACGTCTCAACAACATGATAAGGCGCTGTATCAAAATGCAAAGAATTATTATAGCCAAAATATAGCTTCACTCACATCCTTCATAACACACGTCCCTTTATCTTTCCTCCATAGCCCCCAAATCAGTCAAATATCAGTTGTGGAAATATATAGCTCTTTTTTATTGCAGTAAAAAAAACGTGGTCACTCAATCCACGAAATAATAAATAATAGAATTTAAAGGCTGCAGTGGGACAAGCGGTTGTGATCCACCCAGCAGGTGTGGTTTAATCTCCACAGCCACTTTGCAGAAGAGGGAAAACACTAGCGCCTTTCTGAAAGAGTCATTTGTGTAGAACTCCTGTGCAGAATTCTGTTTGCATTGACTGATCATTGACAGATCATTGACAGACCAAGCTTAAAATGTACGGGGTATGTGTACGTGGGATGATGGGCTGGGGAATTACAGGCACAATACTGCAAGGAACTTTGAGTTCCAAGCCATAAATTGTTGCATTTAATGAGAGTGCCCCACCCACAATAAGAATACTGACTTCACCTTTATTTCAGAGAGTAAGAACATAAGATTATTTGGCTCAATTGGTGGCCTCTGAGACTTGAAGGTTGTAGATGCCCGTTGGATCAGGCATATTTAGGGGTGACACTGCTGTGCTGAGGAATGGGCCAACAATGCTTAGAAGAAGAAGGCAGTTTCTCCTGGTTCTACAACAATGACATTTATCATTCAATTCACGGCTGTTTGTTTTCTTTTGGTCAGAACCGGGTGTCTGACACACACTGAAACCCAACACTGTGCTTAAGAGTATCCAAATCCAACAGAGAATTCCACGCATCCCACCTACACATGAAAAACCCAGAGATAGAATGCTCTCTCTCCTGTTTACCTAATTCAGGTTGTCAAAAGCCAAGGCTTAGGGATCGTTGTGCTCAAATTGGCTGTGATTTTTTTGCCAACAAAATACACAGACACTACACTTTTCAGTCAATCTCATAAAGTGCTTGGAGACATTTTGATTATGTGGTAAGTGCTATATCAAATGCAAGGATTAATTAATTAATTAATCAATCAATCAATGAAACATTTATAATTAACAATTAGGATTAATAATTAAAATTGGGAAGTCCTGCAATACCGATCGCAACCAATAGAGGGCGCCAGCAGCTATACCCAGGAGCTCAATCCTCCTCATGACACAAGACAATCTGAATTGGAGAAACTGCAGCTTTGCTTCAGCTCCAGGAGTCACTGACGGGAACAGAAACTACATTTGATCTTAGATAATTAACCTGTCTTTCAGTCTCAGAAGCTGATCCCCCTGCTAAAGACTGCTATACAAATGTTTTTGTTAAGATTTTGTTGACTCTTCACAGCCATTTAATAATAATAATAATCCTTAAGAAGATAATCACATCTTCTCGACGTCTCAAAGCGCTTCACAGAATATACTGTAAAGTGAATTGACTGTATATTTGTGGGGGAAACGCGGCAGCCAATTGCGCACAGTAGTGTCCCACAAACAGTCGTAGATTGAAGTGACCAATTTATTATTGATTTTTTTCTTGAGGGATTATTTCATCGGGACTCGCTGTTTAAAAGGCAGCCCGAGAGCTGATCACCTCCACAGCTGTCAAACCCGAAAGGGTTAGTGACGAGCAAATAGATAGATTTCATTATCACAGCATCCTCACCTTTTGAGAAAAGTTTGCTACGTGATGAAAATTAAACCCAGTGTGTTATTCGCTCATGCCCTTGCTTTGTGAACTGTGAATAAAAATACTTCTGAAAGGTTATCCTGGACAATGCTGACTTTGGGAGAGAAAAGAGAAAAGTTTGACAACTGTTCAGTTGGTTAAATGTTAAAAACCATAAAAAATGGGATGAACTTTATGCCTGGAACATAATTATTGCTTTTAAGAGATTTATTAGATTCAAGTATTTCATGAGAGATGAACAGCGTTGCTTAAAAACTGACAATGACATAACATCTGTGCTAAGACCAGATCAGGAGGAGTTTATTTGGAGATAAGGGGGGGGTGGGGGGACAACCTCCACTAATGATTCCATTGCGCCCCCCTCTGGCCATGAGCAGAGATACAAGCCAGGATCCAAATGCTGTGACATCAGAGTTTCACCCAAACCCTTAACAACACAAGATTGGTTCAGATGAAGAAGGCCTTTCGGAACCATTTGATCTCATCTTTAAAGAATGCCCAACAACAACAACAAAATGACATTTACTGAGCGCCTTTCACGTCGGGAGGACATCCCAACGCGCTGGACAGTCAGGGGTCAGGACCCGAGCATGGGGTGGGTGGCGGGGTGGGGTAGGGATGAGGAAAGGCAGTGAGGAGGGAGGGCAACTGAAGGCACAATTGAAGAGAAGGGTTTTGAGACCGGCCTTGAAGGAGGCGAGGGAGGAAACGAGGCGAAGGGACCGTGGGATGGAGTTCTGGAGTGTGGGGGCAGAGAGGCTGAAAGCCCGGACACCAATGGTAGGGCGGGTTGGGCGGGAGACATGGAGCAGTCCGGAGCCCGATAAACAGAGGGAGCGGGCAGGTTGGTAGGGAGTCAGCAGGTCAGAGAGGTAGGAGGGGTGCAAGGCCTACAGTCTTTCAAACAAAATAATAATAATCCTTGCCTTCGATATAGCACCTTATCACATCGCTGAGATAATAATAATAATAATAATCCTTGCATTTGATATAGCGCTTTTCACGTCGGGAGGACGCCCCAAAGCGCTTCACAGAACACACTGTAAAGTGAAGTGACTGTATATTTGTGGGCGAACGCGGCGGCCAATTGCGCACAGCAATGTCCCACAAACAGTCGTAGATTGAAAATGACCAATTTATTATTGTTTTGTTGTTTTGGAGGATTATTATTAGGCTCTGTGTGGAGTAAGGAAACTTGCCCAAGGTTTCGCCCTCTGCCTGGAACTGAACTCAGGTCTCTCACTTGTAAAGCGAGTGCTTTAACCACTGAGCTACAGGACTCAGAGTCTCAAAGTGCTTCACGAAATATAGTATAAAGTGGTTTGACTGTATTTTGTGGGCAAAACGCGACAGTCAATTGCACATAGAACAATAGTCAAGATTTGGTGAGTAAAGTTTTAAGCTTTGTACGTATAAAACAAACACAAGGAGGACTTGTTGGAGGAATCGGTTTCAGTGTTTTCCGTTTAATTATCATTGCACAAAGATGCCACAGGAGGGCAATGGTTGGTGGCTGTTGCTTCAGGAGAATCGTTCAGGAAGTAACCAGGAGCAGAGATGACCCAGTCCTGTAGGATGGCACAGGGTCAGTTTACTGCTCCGGCCATCAGCACAATAACCAGATGGAAAGTAACTCCATTGATGGATTCATTATATCAAACAGATTCCAGGGTCAAAGTTCGGTGAGGCCAGATCTTGTGTGGGGTAAAGGGGGGCAGTGTGTGGGGGGCTGATGGGGGTCAAGGTGTGGGGGGCTGATGGGGGGTCAGAGTGCGGGTGATGGGGGCAGGTGAGGGGGGTGATGGGGGCAGGTGGGGGGGTGATGGGGGGCAGGTGAGGCGGGTGATGGGGGGCAGGTGAGGCGGTGATGGGGGGCAGAGTGAGGGGGGTGATGGGGGGCAGGTGAGGGGGGTGATGGGGGGCAGGTGAGGGGGTGATGGGGGGCAGGTGAGGGGGGTGATGGGGGCAGGTGAGGGGGTGATGGGGGGCAGGTGAGGGGGGTGATGGGGGGCAGGTGAGGGGGGTGATGGGGGGCAGGTGAGGGGGGTGATGGGGGCAGGTGAGGGGGGTGATGGGGGGCAGAGCTCACCTGTGAGGAGGGGGAGGGGCAGAGGGTGACAGGAGCCAATGAGAGGCTGAGTTGGGCGGAGAGGGGCGGAGCAGAGCCACTGGTCCTCTGTCCCTGTGTCTGTGTCCCTGACCCTGAGGCTGTGTCTGTGTCCCTGAGGCTGTGTCTGTGTCCCTGAGGCTGTGTCCCTGAGGCTGTGTCCCTGACCCTGAGGCTGTGTCTGTGTCCTCTCCTCTCCCCTCCCCCCGGAGCCCAGGATGGGGGGTTCGCTGCCGCTGGTGCTGCTGTACCTCTCCGCCTGTGTTCGCTGCTCCCCCACTGCCCCCAGAGCCGCGGCCCCGCCGGGAGCCCCCAGTCAGGGGGAGGCCACCCTGGGGGAGATGTTCCGGGAGGTGGAGGAGCTGATGGAAGACACACAGCTCAAACTGCAGGACGCAGCCCGAGAGGTGGGTACGGCATTCCCTGTCTGTGTGTGTGTGTGTGTCTGTCTGTCTGTGTGTGTGTGTGTGTGTCTGTCTGTGTGTGTGTGTCTGTCTGTGTCTGTTTGTCTGTGTGTGTCTTTGTCTGTCTGTGTGTGTGTGTCTGTCTGTGTCTGTCTGTCTGTGTGTCTGTGTCTTTGTCTGTCCCTCTGTGTGTGTGTCTGTCTGTGTCTGTCTGTCTGTGTGTGTCTTTGTCTGTCTGTGTGTGCCTGTATGTCTGTGTCTTTGTCTGTCCCTGTGTCTGTGTGTGTCTGTATGTGTGTGTCTGTCGGTGTGTCTGTCTGTGTGTGTCTTTGTCTGTCCCCGTGTCTGTCTGTCTGTGTCTGTGTGTGTGTCTGTGTGTGTCTTTGTCTGTCCCTCTGTCTGTCTGTCTGTCTGTCTGTGTGTCTGTCTGTGTGTGTGTGTCTGTGTGTCTTTGTCTGTCCCTGTGTCTGTCTGTCTTTGTGTGTCTGTCTGTGTGTGTGTCTGGGTGTCTGTGTGTGTTTGTGTGTCCCTGTGTCTGTGTGTGTGTCTGTCCCTGTGTGTGTGTGTGTTTGTCTGTCCCTGTGTCTGTGTGTCTGTGTGTGTCTGTCCCTGTGTGTGCTTCTGGGTTTCTCCGCTGTATGAGGGCCACTATATAAAGGCGAGTTGTTGTCTGTGTGTTACTGGTGTTGAGCTTTCACTGCACAGTTGTCTCACGTGTAGAAATGGCAGTGTTGCAGGTGGCAAAATCTGGGGGAGTTGATTGTGAGTCGATCCGATCAATAAATGCATCAAACTCCATCAGAGCCCCTTTCCCATTCATTAACTTTGTCAAACGTATCCCCTTTACACCTCATTATCATAACAATAAGCCTTGGATTTGGTTTCACGTCAGAAGGACGTCCGAGTTTGTGCAATGCCACAAACAGCCGTGAAGTGAAGTTGCATGTTTTTGTTGCACTTTGCACCTTATTACGTTTCGCCCACAAAATAAACAGACAATCCACTTTACAGTGTATTCTGTGAAGTGTTTTGAGATGTTTCAATGATGTAATAAGGTGCTGTATCAGATGCAAGGATTATTGAAGAAAATGGCTCATTATTGACCAGCACAATATATTGTAAAGAATTTTGTCACCACTTGTTAATCACGACTTCCAATCCCACTTTCTTCCTGTTACCGCTCTGGGACACTAAACCATGTGAAGAGCGCATATAAATGCAGGTTGTTGTTGTTGAAGTTGTTCTTCCTCTTCTGCCAGAAAGGCATTGGGTTCAGGTTCATTGGAATAATAATAAATAAATGCATAATCCTTGCATTTGATATAGCGCCTTATCACATCATTGAGACGCCTCAAAGCGCTTCACAGAATACATTGTAAAGTGAATTGACTGTAAATTTTGTGGCCGAAATGGGGGATTATAAACTTGTTTACCTTGGACAGGGCATTTGTCAAAAAATAAATAATGACGCGATAAAATAGACGTACACAGCGTAGTCACTGGGTGTCGTCAGCTTTGAAAAAGTATGCAAACAATGCTCCCATTCTACGTGTTCCTGGTGCAGTCAACGTTATGGTGAGGTCAGATCACTGCTGCCACTTCAGGCTCTTATCTTGGAGAACTCCCATCATTATACTGTATCCCCAAATACAATGCCCACTCACTCCATGGCTGTTTTAATAATCGGGGTCACCAAAAGCCAATCAGATCATGTTACCCTTTGGTTTGCTTGGCTACTCATTTTCAGTCAAATTTCTTCGAGTTCGGACAGGATTGCTTAGTTAGTAGAGTTTAACTTGCAAAGCACCAATTTCTTCTGTTTACATGAAGGTTGCCAGAGAGGATACAGTTTATAGGCTCACTTTGCTGAATCAAATCATTAGCAGGATTGATAACATGACATAGAATTAGCCTAAATAAAGCACTTTCTGCTCAGTTGGATTTATAAATTTAAAGTAAATCTTGTATTTGATAAACAGCAGCACTTACAATTTCAAAACAACAACAACAAATTACATTTGTATACAGCGCCTTCATGTCAGGAGGACGTTCCAATATCCCAAAGCACTTCGCAGAAAACTTCTGCATAGTGCAGTAATAAGAATAAAAATAATAATACTATCAGAGACTTGACCCTGGACCGGGGAGAGAGGGGAGGTTATTGTAGGCATGGTCAAAGTGTAAGGCCTTCACTCCTCTTTCCCCCCCCCCAACACTCCCAAAATCTCACTTAATCTATTCTGATAAGACTATTTTGTTCTGAATGTTACAGTGACACAGAATCCTGGAATATTCCCAAATTGAGCCTCAATTGTTACTTGGATCGGATCCTTTTTAAGATCTGCGGGGTAAAGAACAAGTTTTCCAAATTGAGTTTGGATTTTTAAAAACTTCCTCCAGTTCTGCACAATCCAAACATTTAATATAACAATAGTCTTATTGCTATAAAAGCCACCAACCGGCCCCTGACACGGCTTCTATAAATTCACACCTCACAACCGAAAGCAATAAATGCTTGTGAACTGTGACTGCAGATGGAATCTGAACAAGAAAGCTTCTCCAGAGAACTCCATGCCATCGATCTGGACAAGTTGCCACCCAATTACCACAATCAGTCTGACACTGAGTCCAAGACAGGAAACGCCACTATCCGGACCCATCAGGACATCCACAAGGTAACAGCACGATAACAGCAAACAATAAAGAGCAAACAACAAACAGGAAACAACAAACAGCAAACCACAAACAACAGCACTAACATTATTGTGATATTAAGAACATTACTTTGTTGAAGAGATGATGTTTTAAAATAAAAATCCGAAATATAATTTGAGATATTATTTAACACATTAATTACAGAATCTTACACTGACAGCAGCTTTAGCAAAAGTAAAATAATTCTGGTTTGTGAGTATTGGTGTGTCACAAACAGATTCTTTCCTTTGTTTATTCCTGTCATAACACTGGTGTCTTTATTAATATTATTATTAATATTATTATTGTTACTATTATTTTCACTTTATGTTGTCTTCCTCTTGACTGTGTTCACGCTCACTCTCTCACAGACCACAGATGAGAAGACAGGAACCATCATCATATCCGAGCAGATTATCACCTCGGTTAATGGTGAAGTTAGTGACCATGTGAGTTACTGCCAATATTACTGTCCACGCCACACACGCTTAACCGGGGAAGGGGCCAATGGGGTGGGGGGAGGGGCCAATGGGGGGAGGGACTGGTAATGGGGGGAGGGGCCAATGGGGGGGGAATGGGAGGAGGGGAGGGTATAAGAGCATCTCAGTTCAACTCTGAATTTGTGTGTAAGCCAATAGAACGGCTTTTTGGTTTGTACCAACCGCAGAGTGTTTGCATTGACTGAGATCCAAAACATCTTTGCAGAAACGCCAGTGAAGGAAAACTTCTGCAATTATGAAGAGTTAGTCACACATGAAGAGGGAATAAATTCCAATTACATGACCTATTTCTGGGGGTGGATGGGAGGGAGGGAGGGAGGGAAAAGAGATGTAAAGAGCAGTTTGTGTTTTGGTCAAAGTTACTAAATAACGAGCTTGGGTTTATAGCTGACCCTGAACTTCAAATCCATTCACCCGCCCTTGCCCCATATCCCTTGATATCCTGACCTACCAACAGTGATGTCTGGTCAGGCACAGGTACAGGGGTTTGTGCTACTGAGCAGTTTGACTACTTTGCTCAAGGTTACTGTGATTAAAGCCTTGACCACCACAGAGAGATGGACACTTACTCCACGTGTTCAGACAGGGCTCAGCGCCAGTACTTGGCTGGTGAATCGATGTGGCCTGTATAATATCCAGGCCAAGATCAAACTGCAGGGAAATATCAGAGAAACTGATAACTTTCATAACTTTTCTGCCGTTATGAAAAGGTTTCTGTCTGACGTCAAGGAAGCAGTCAGAGAGAAGGGGAATGGTGGGGGGGCGATTCTATTTGTGGTCACTGACTGACTCCTGCAAGTTTGCTCCCGCACTTGTTTTGATTAACGTTGCTAGAAAAATAAAACCCAGTGGTGGCATGATTCATATTTTCCAGACTTGCCGAGCAAACAGCAAACCACAGATATGTGCGGAAAATCCACCCAAATAATCCCTGGTTTGGAGGGAGGTCGGGAAAGAGTTGTACAAATGGAGTGAGACCGTTATTCTCCTTTGGGATGTGGGATTTTACTGTGTTGGCGATGTGATATGTCAAGCCAGCGTCTAAAGCTCCTACCCCAAATTTCAGGGACATCTGTTTAGTCTGTGGCAAACTGGGAAACATAACTCGCAAGTGATCTTATCTGTGTATTTAATGCGCTGCTGAGGGAAGCAGTCTCTGCTGCTCGTTACATTTCACAGCCTTGACTTGTGATAGAGGCCACTTGGACTCACTCTTCCAAGGTCAATAATATTATAATAATAATAATCCTTCTTTTGGATATGGTGCCTTTCATGCTGGGAGGATGTCTCAAACTTCGAATGTAAAGTGTAATGACTGTTTTTCCACAGGTGAATGTACCAACCTGCTGAGGAACATAGGAACAGGAGAAGGCCATTCAGCCCCTCAAGCCTGTTCTGACATTCTATTAGATCATGGTTGATCTGTACCACAACTCCACTTACCCGCCTTTGTTCCATATCCCTTGACACCCTAATCTAACAAGGGAGGAGGGTTGGGGGAGAAGGGGAATGGGGGGGGGGCGAATGTCTGACCTGCTCTAATACCACTGTTCCCATGGCTTATCAGCAGCCGGCAATTGCTTTCTGCTTGGGTGACTGACAGCCATTAGGAAGTGGGTTGCGATTTCCCTAAGCTCACAGGGAGACAAGATCGAGTCTGGGGTCAAGTCCAAGTCATGGAGACACTCCATCACTCAGTCTCCCCTCCCCTGACCGCCCCACAACTATTTCTTCAAAGCTTTAAATTCTACCACCCACTTGCTACATCTCTCCTAGAGTAACCAGCAACTATTGAGCTGTCAGCCTGACTAAGAGGCCGAGTCCAGACTCCGATAAGATGGACAGATTCCGAGAGATCTGGTCAGTGACCCAGCAGAACAGCGTAACATTAACCCGTGAACTGTAAGCTTTGCCTTGCTGCAGGGGATAAAGCTTTTCATCAGACAGTTCTGTAAACACAAAAAAAACACTGCAAAAATAAATAGAGCCAAGAATTTGTGCTTCAACTTTAATTTGCTGCAAAGCAGGTAATGGATGCCTTCGCGACTGCTCTGTTGGCATTTAAATCGGGACAGAAATACAACCAAGAGCATTTTAAAAGTTGTTCTTGGAACAGTAAAAGGGGCCAGGCGAAACGGTGTGGAGTTTCCTTACTACACACGCCTGTTTCCCTGAGACAATACTCAGGAAGAGCAGAAACTAATGATCAGTTCCTAGTTATCAGCACCACATCCTTCAGTAAATAACAGAATTCAGTTCCTGTTACACTTGGCTGAATTTAGTGATTCCCAAATAAACATGATATTTACAAAGTAGGTCACAAGATGGAAACATCTGCATGACCATTTGCTGGGCGTCTCAGACAGTCCATTATGTTTATTATGTTTAGATGTATGGACTGTATAGAACATTGGTGGTCAGGAGGACCAAGGCATGGAATTATGTAGCGGTGAGATAAGGTTTGAGTCAATGATTCATCCTCTGTTGACTTCCTGATCCCAGCAATGTTGCCATGGGGAGGTTTTGAGCAGAAGCCAATGGACAACAACAACAACAACTTGCATTTATAAAGCGTTCCTCATGCAGGATAGCATCCCAGAGCGCTTGACAGTGGCGGAGCACGACTCCGAGCCGGGGGAAGGGGGAGGTGACCATAGGCATGGTCGAATAGAAAGGTCTTTAGGCGCGACCTGAAAATGGAGAAGGAAGTGGCAAGGAGAGGGATAGTTGATGTGTGCTCCACACTTTGGACTGTTCCAAAACCCTTCAGACTGAAGGAGAGGAGAAATAATGTCATTCTGCCCACAAAATATACAGTCCATCCACTTTACAATATATTCTGTGAAGCCATTTGTAGATGCCTCAATGCAGTAATAAGGCGCTTTATCACATGAAAGGATTATTATGAATATTCCATGTATTGCTCTCACTCACCCAGGGAGCAGTTCAAAACAGCACTAAGACTCTCCCCAAATCTGCTGCTTTAAGGCTGTTGTGACTGGGTATCACTGTTCCTGCCATTTTACATAACATGCCCTTCGCTGTTATTTGCCCTAAGAATGAAAATCAACAACAACAACGTATATTTATATAGCAACCTTCACATAGGATAAAATCTTCACATTGATGGGGTCGGGCATGAGCAAAGGAGAGGAGGTGAAGTGATTTATAGACGGGGGCAAGGATCTTGAAATCGATGCGTTAAGGGACAAAGAGCCAGTAGACCCTGGAAACAGTCCAAGGAGGAAGATTTCTGTAATGAAATCCAAATCCAAAGCCTGATCATTACTATGTCTCCAGGTTTTATAAACATAATCATTTAAAATACTAAAGAGCAGCACAGACAGGAGCCAGGCCAGGAATCTGTGAGAGATTAACATCGACTCAAGTAAACAAGAATTGACAGCTCTCTAATTCCAAGAAAAGGAAAGGTTGACTTACGCTCAGACAACAAATTGACTTATGAGTATAATTTACATCTCCTTAATCCATTAACCCTTCCAGTCCCAGAGATTAGAAATGACTGATCCTGATTTGAAAGTTCATAGTACAAATACTGGAACAGATAATAATGGCGCCTTTCACATCAGGAAGGCATCTAAAAGTTTTTCGCAGCATTCACTGTAAAGTGTATTTTGTGTAGTGTATATTGCCAATTTGTGCATAGCAATGTCTCACAAATAGCCATGAAGTCAATGGTCGATTTTAATTGGGGGATTGTTGCCCAGGAGAGAGAAACTCCCTCCTCTTTTCGAATGGTGACAAGGGATCTTAAACATCCACCAGAATATTAGACAGAAACTGTTAGGAAATGGAAAGAGTTAAGAGTTTCCTTTCATCTATTCTCTCCACCCCTCCCCACCCCAATTCCTAATCCTAACTGCTTCTTTCCCACCCTACCCACTCACTTGATGTAGTGATGGAATTAGTGTTGATTAAGGACTAAATCAAATGGGCTGAAAGGCCTTTTTCATCCAAAGCTCTCTCTTGCTCTCTCCGTAGGAATGTATTGTGGACGAGGATTGTGAAAAGGAACACTTCTGCCTGGTCTCCCTGCTGGAATCCAAGTGCTTAAAGAGTGGAACTCAGGACGAGGCAAGTGCTATAATCTGTCATTCCTCTCGCTGTGCCATCGCTCTGCTTTTGATTTCTACCCTCGAGCAGTAGATTGGCACCCAGGGTGTGCAGGAACAGCCTACAGTAGGGTTGGAGACTGGCAACTAAACAGGACTGAATGAACTGCTCTCTGTTTGGCCTCCAGCAGCTAAAGGTTACCACGAGCAACTACGTGCAGAGGAAACAATTTGGTTTTGTATTCCCTTCTTCACAACAGTAATGCTCACTTTATGCTCACTAGGACCTGTAGCTCAGTGGTTAGAGCACTCGCCTCACAAGTGAGAGACCTTGGTTAGATTCCTGACAGGGAGAAACCTTGGGCAAGTTTCCTTACTCCACACGCCTGATAATAATTCCTAAAGAAAAAAAGCAATAATAATTTGACCATTTTCAATCCACGACTGTTTGTGGGATGCTGCTGTGCACAATTGGCTGCCGCGTTTTGCCCATAAATATAGTCAATTGACTTTACAGTATATTCTGTGAATCGCTTTGAGACGCCTCGAAGACGTGAAAAGTGCTATATCAAATGCAAGGATTATTATTATGAAGGATTATTATAGGCTGAGCTTCCTGTGGCAGTGAAGAGAGACGCTCGAATCCATTGCAGTTGGAACATTCCTGCTTCTGGACTGGCTCAATGTGAACCGGGATGTCCCCCGACATGAAAGGAGCTAAACAAATGTAATGTGTTGTTGTAGAGACACACAATGACTGCGGCAATCTGCAAACCAGTACCTTAACAACCTCTGGCCCTGTGCTCTGATTACACAGCGAGCAGTAATTCTGCTGAGGCAGGATCGTGTTTTTCTATAAAACAGGAACTGGAATAAAGTGGTTTATGTTGAAAATCTTTCCTCTCCTGCTACACCAGTGAGACGAATGAAAGACTGCGCAAGAGTGTGTGCAAAAGAGTGTGTGTGCAAGAGTCATTGCGAGAGTGTGAGATCGAAAGAGTATGTGCCGGAGTGAAAGACAACACGAGAGTGTGCGTGCAAAAGAGTGTGTGTGTGAGTGTTCAAACGAGAGAGAATGTGCGTGAGTGTGCATATGAGACACACCTCCATTCCCCCAACCCACCCAGCGACATATCCACTCACTCACCCAACCTGCCTCCTAACAACACAACATTTACACAGCGCCTTTCACGTTGGGAAGACATCCCTAGGTGCTAAAGAGTCGGGGATTTGGAGCTAAAGAGTCGGGGGTTGGGATCAGGAGATTGGAGGGCAGGGAGAGTAGTGGGGCGGCGGAAGGTTTTGAGACTGGTCTTGAAGGAGGCAAGAGAGGTGGGTAAGTGTGCTCCCACACTGAGCTAAGCTGACCCACAATTTGCTCTGAATTCCCTCAGAGCTGCACTCGGGATGCGGAGTGTCGCTCCGAGCACCTGTGTGTGTGGGGACACTGCAGGAGGAATGCCAGCAAAGGAGAGAACGGTACAATCTGTGAGCAGCAGCTTGACTGCAGTAACAACATGTGCTGTGCATTCCAGACAGGTAAGCCACCCGTGGCATCTTTGTTACAATAATAATCCTTGCATTTAATATAATAATAAATAATAATAATCCTTGCATTTAATATAATAATATATAATAATAATCCTTGCATTTAATATAGTGCTTTTCACATCTTCTTGACGTCTCAAAACGCTTCACAGAACACACTGTAAAGTGAATTGACCGTATATTTGTGGGCGAACGCGGCAGCCAATTGGGCACAGTCATGTCCCACAAACAGTCGTGGATTGAAAATGACCAATTTATTATTGTTTTTGGTTTTGGAGGGATTATTATTAGGCTCTGTGTGGAGTAAGGAAACTTGCCCAAGGTTTCGTCCTCTGCCTGGAATTGAACCCGGGTGTCTCACTTGCGAGGCAAGTGCTCTAACCACTGAGCTACAGGACTCAAAGGCGCCTTGTCAAATCATTGAGATACCCCAAAGCGCTTCAAAGAATATATTGTAAAGTAAATTGACAGTGTATTTTGTGGGTGAATCGCAGCAGCAAATTGCACACAGCAGAGTCCCACAAACAGTCCTGGATTGAGTGACCATGTATTTTTTGAGGGGTTATTACCCCTAGAAAATGATGCAACAATTGACTAACAACCAGGTGCTTACTTACTCCTGGCTAAACAGAGCCAGGTGTGTGGAGTAAGGAAACTTGCCTAAGGTTTCATCCCATCCAGAATCAAACCCAGGTCCTCTCGCTTGCGAGTGCTCTAACCACTCCACTATGGGACTCCACAATCAAAGCCACTTGAGCAGTTGTCTAACCCCTTTTCATGGTTTCTGCAGATCTCTTGTTTCCGGTGTGTAGTCCTTTGCCCACAGAGCACCAGTTATGCCACAATCCCTTACAAAACCTCCTGGACATCATCACCTGGGAATTTGAGCCAGAAGGTGCTTTAGATCACTGTCCCTGTGCCAAAGGGCTGATCTGCCAACCTCAACGGTAAGTGGTTTCATTAGCAAAGAATTAATCATCTGAACGAACACTTGCAGCAGTCATTTCTAGAGATTTAGTCTGTAAATTGAATCTCAACCCTGTTCAGAAGACGCGAGTTTGTGTTGCCTCTCTTAAAGGTTCAAACGGAAGACAATGAAAAATATCTTTAATATGCCTAATTATGTCTGGTTTCCCCGCTAATAAGTAAGTGAATTTCTCTGTAACGTGGTGAGAAACAGATGGGGTCAGAGTGGAGACACAACAGGCCATTCAGACCAACTAGTCAGTGATTCATTCTTATGGGCAGCACGGAAACCCCTTCAGTCGGGTTTCCGTGCTGCCCATAGCACAGAAACTGCCCTGGTCAAGGTCACCAATGACATCCTGACCATCTGTGAATTTGGCAGCATTCGGCAGCATTCGATACGGTCAACCACGCTATCCTCCTCCACCGCTTGTCCTCCCACCTCAACCTTCAAGGCCCTGTCCTTGAGTGGTTTAGGTCGTACCTCTCCCACCGTCTTCACTTTGTTTCCACGAATGGTTTTTTCTCCGGCCCCCGCACTGTCTCGTGCGGTGTCCCTCAGGGCTCTGTCCTCGGTCCCCTCCTCTTCACCCTCTATATGCTCCCCCTGTGGTGACATCATCCGCAGACATGGGGTTAACTTCCACATGTGTGCGGATGACACCCAACTCTACCTTTCCTCCTCTACCCTCAACTCCACGACCACCGATGTCCTGACAGCTGTCTGTCCGACATCGAGTCCTGGACGAGAGACAACTTTCTTCAGCTCAACGTGCGTAAAACTGAGGCCCTCCTGATTGGCTCACGTCAGTGCCCCCGCACCTCAGACGCTGATAACATCAGCTCCAAGGCTGCACTCTCCATCTCTCAAAGCCATCAGGAACCTCGGTGTTCTGTTCGAGGTTCTTTCTCCCTCATATCCGCACCACAACTGGCACCGCCTTCCATCACCTCCGGAATGTCGCCAGACTACGGCACTACCTCACCCCTCACGCGGCTGAAACTCTGGTCCACACCTTTATCACCTCAAGGCTGGACTATGGGAACTCTCTCCTCGCCGGCCTTCCCGCCACCTCCCTCCACACTGCAGGTCATTCAGAACTCTGCAGCTCGTGTACTGTCCCGCACCAGACACCGCGACCACATCACTCCCACCCTCGCCCTCACCCTCGCCCTCACCCCCACCCTTGCTCGCCTCCACTGGCTCCCCATCCCCCAGAGGATCGATTTCAAGATCCTCATCCTCACCTACAAGGCCATTCACGGCCTCGCTCCCTCCTACCTCTCCGACCTACTATCCCCCTACCTACCTGCCCGTACTCTCCGTTCCTCTGCTCCGGTCTGCTCCACATCCCCCGCCCCAACCGCCCTACCATCGGTGGCCTTCAGCCTCTCAGCCCCGAGGCTCTGGAACTCTATCCCCCAGTGCCTTCGCTGCCTCCTCCTTTTCCTCCTTCTCCTCCTTCAAGGCCGGTCTCAAGACCTTTCTCTTTGACCGTGCCTTCAGCTCCCCTCTCGACTCTCTACCCCCTCCTCGCTCCCTCCCTTCCCTCCCCCTGACCATTTCCCCCCTCCTCGCTCCCTCCCTTCCCTCCCCTCACCATTTCCCCTCTGCTTGGGTCCTGACCCAACTGTACAGCACCTTGGGACGTCCTCCCGACGTGAAAGGTGCTCTATAAATGGAATCTTGTTGTTGTTGTTGTTGTTGTTCTGCTTACACCAAGTGTCAGAATCAAATGCAAGTTCTGTATTATTATAATTATTTATATAATTTGAATTTTTTTAATATGTATTTGGTCAAAAGAGGTTGATCATCCTAATAGGAGCCTTTAGCACTCAGATACACCTCCCCGAGCTATATAAATGCAATTGTTATTGTTTCAGCAACAGAATTTTAAAAAAAATGTTCTTTGCAGTTTACCATAAGTAACCAGGACTAATTCTGGACCAACTTGCAAACCTATACATGGACCAATACATGTCACCGGGCCACTTGCCGGATGCTGAAACCTGCTCACGTTTATTCACTCATTGTGGGGCCTTGTTGCCCAAATAGATTATTTCAACTGATAATTTGAAAACTGAAGACAACAGATTAAAGACAAAGCATTTCAATTAATCCAAGGACAACACCTGGGCCTTTGACAGTGTCTCACATTTAATTCATGGTCAGAGGATCTCATTAAAGAATACTGTAATGGAGAATAGCTGGTAACAGATGTGCCTTTCATTTGCTGCAGTCTATGAACCACTAATAAAAGTCACCTTTATTTGGCCGAGGATGTGATCTGTTTATCTTGCTAATTGTGTGCTTTATTGGCAGAGAAGCCGTTTCATAAAATCGATAGGCTTTGGGTGGGAGGATATTTGCTTTGTGAATCATCGCGCCCCCCCCCCACCCGCTTCTCACTGTCACCAAAGTGCGGATTGTAACTGGGAGTAGTTTGTCTGAGAGAGTGATTAGTAGTAATAATAATTCAAGCCCCACAGTCCTGATCTCTGCTCAATGTCACTGAATTGGAATTGCAGAAAGCTGTGAGGGTTAAAATATAATACAGTTTACAATTGGGAAATTAGCAAACGATAGGTCCAAAGGGAGGGAGGCAGATGGACTCCAGGATGGAGATCCAGTGAGTGAGAGCAGAATGACTGAAAGCTTCCCATAGTCAAGTTTCTTTAATTAATAGGCACACAGGACCTCTCTTTAACATCTCTTCATTCCAAAGGATGGTCTGTCCATTCCCCCCTCCAGCATTTTACTGGAGCGTCAGCCTAGACCATGAGCTCAACGACATCCATTTTACTACCCAGCATTTGGTGCACTGTTGAGATCTAATTTCTCTCTCACTCTCTTTCTCTCAGCCCAGGTTCACTGTCTGTGTGTAAACAGTCCAGTGTTTTTGATGACCATACCACCTCCCCTGGGGATCGGAGGCTGGAAGACCAGACTTTTCTTGACATGGTATCGAAGGAGGGGGCCGAGGGGGAGGACAGCTACAGAGATATCATTGAGGACTTTGAAGAGGCCGTCGCGAGGGGAGTGGAGGAAGACCTTTTCTACAAGATCTCAGATGAACCTGAAGAAGACAGAACCGAGTCACTGACAGAGAGGGAGTTAATGGTGGAGCCGAGAAGAAGAGGATTGAAGTGAAATGGTTGCTCTGCACTTAAACACAGGTTTTTAACAACAACATTGTTAACATCCACCATGAAGATAACCTGTGCTTGAGGTTAAATAGTTTTTATGATTACTAAGGATGACGAGCAGCAATTCTTGCTTTCACACAATTCTGAACTTTGGAATTATCGATTGTCTGATAAATTGTTAGTTCTATTTGCCATTTCTTGCTCCGCCTTTTTTCCTGGAAACTTGCTGTCCAACAGGTTTGTCCCACCCAACACTGTGGCTGAAGAATCTACACTGAGCGGAGAGAGTTCCTTCCACTTTATGTGATGTGAACACCGGGCAATGTGCTTGGCTGTGCTGTGAGGGCAGTGGCATAGAGACGGATGGATGGAGGATGGATGGGGGGGATGGGTGTCTTGTTCCGCACAGTTTCCACTTTTAACGCAACAGAGATTTAACACCAATCAAAGGGCTTTGTTTTCAATGTGTATCGCGATGATTGCGATGTTCCGTGAGCACAGGCTTGAGCACACTGCAGGATGGTCACAAGGTTATGACAAAAACTGTAGTTTCCTGATAAAAAATGTTGGCCTTGATTTTTTGCATTAATCAATAAAAAATTTAAAAGCTTGCAAATCATTCAGTTGCAGTACTACACCAGCTCCTTTGTGGTTTAGCTATTTTGATGCAGACTCAAAGCAGATTACACTGGGGTAACGGATGTGGTTTATAGCTTTCACTCTTAGTCCTCGCCCTTGTGCTGCCTCCTCCACAGAGCGCTGCTGCACTGAGCCACCCCTTTGTTTCCCACTTTACGACCTGCCTTAAGATGTTTCCCCACTTTATAGTCAGCTCAGGTGCCCAGGCAGGTGCATGACGCACTTTAAAAAATCCTCCAAAATGTGAAAGATGCTGTAAAAATAATTTGATATAGCACACTATTTATCATCAGATCTTCGAGACGTCTCAAAACGCTTTACAATATATACTATCAAGTAAATTGACTGCATTTTGTGGGCGAAACGTAAATTGTATTATACTAAATATTCTTTCCACTTGGTACAAAGCTTTCCCGCATGTGATTTGAACATCAGAATGGGAGGGGGGACTAATAAAATAATACCAGTGGTGGTAAGCAACTTTCAGAACATCTTTGCAAAGTAAAATGAGCAATGAATTAACTGTTGTTACACATGACCGGGAGGGGGAGAGTTACTGTACTTGAAGAAGACACTCAATATCACAGATCTTTAACAACAAATCTACTTCATTGATGGCTCCTTAAATATATACCCTGTGACATTAAAATAACATAGATCCATCTCCTTAGCCATTCACCAAGGCAGTATTACTCACTACTAGGGCAGGTTTTTCCACACAAACAAGGTGGAGCTTTCTCTGGCTCGATTATCTCACACAAAAGGAAGAGCAGGTTGTTGCTCATAAAACAGTCCTTAGCTTTACTGCAATTGGAGTCCAGTCCTTATCACTTTAAGGCATCACCTCACGCTGTCTGCCACAGGAGACTGAGCAGGGCTGAAAACCCAAATGAATTCTTAAAGCAAATCTTTCATCTGCCCATGTGATCCATCCGTCCATCCGAGTGAGATCAGCATTGATCCAGAAATCAATCCAGTCAAAACACGAGGAAAAATGCACAGGGCAGCTTCAATATCTCTCTCCTCAATCAGATGCAATGATTTGTTTTCCCTGATACAATAACACCCAATAAAAGATTCCAATTCTGAATTAATCAATTGGCTTCAATCACATCACCCTGCAGGCCTGTGCCACATTGCTTTAGCTGGTGGCCTACGCAATGCCTAGCAAACTAAATAACCTCTCTGGTTTAGTGATAGCATACATCGGTTTAGTGATACTTTGGGTCCTGTAATTGTTGCTTAAAGAGAAGGGCACAACGTCCCAACAATGTGAAAGCTCTGACCTACACAGCTTCAGAAAAGGGTTTAGTGAAGCTGAATCTGAGCCAGAGGATGGACACAAAACACTACATCAAAAAATAGTAACTTGAGGCAGGGAAAGTGCACATTGTAAACAAACCCCAACCTTAACAACCTTCCTCTAGTCTCTAACCTTGGTGTCTGCCAATCTCACAGATCATCACCTGCCTATAATAACAATTTTTTAACAAGCCGAGAGCTTGTCTGCACAATTGCAATATCTATTTAAATGTCACTGACTGGAATATCCTCTGAACCCAAACTTTTTATACATATACATTCCAGACCACAGGAACTGAGTCAATGAAATACTAAGCTCCCCCATCTTCACCCGACTCGACTGGTTTCCCACCACACAGAGGATACAGTTCAAGATCCTGGTCCTCACATTCAAAGCCCTCCACGGTCTTGCTCCCCCCGACCTCTGCCAACTCCTAACCCTCTACCATCCTGCTCGCTCACTCCTCTCAGCGGGCTCTGGCCTGCTTCACATCCCCCGCCTCGCTCGCCCCAATATTGACGGACCAGGCTTCCGCCACTCTGCCCCCACCCTCTGGAACTCCATCCCGCAGTCCATCCGCCCTCCTCGCCACCTTCAAGACCCACCTCTTCGACCATGCTTTCGATCTCCCTGCTTCCCCCCCCCCCCCCGATTCCAACCCCCAGCTCAGGTCCGTAAATGTCTGTCCAGCACCTTGGAACGTCCTCCAAAGGCGCTTTGCAAATGTAATTTTGTTGTTGTTGTTACAAGCTGTGCAAAATGGACTAAACTAAGTTTCGAGTCTTCTAACGAAAGCAAGGTGCGTTGATTTATAGATAAAAAGCAAATTCTAGGTAACATCTGAAGGTTAGTTGACAACACAACACCAACTTAGCAATGCATGAAGAAGATTATGGTTAGGGTTAACCCTAATTAGCCAGGAGAGTTGTGGCTTTGACACATTAGCATATGGACAAGGCATTAAGTGGTGGGATGTGTATGAGAGCCTTTGAAATGGTACAGTTTGATGTAGCAGTGATCCCAGGATAGACAGTGACATCTCGTGGGCTTCCAGAGCAGCAGCAATGTGTAAATAACACACAAACTGCCATCGTTTAACCTTGTAAAATAAATTATTTTAATGCAGTGGAGATAAAGTGGCAACACTAGTTACAATCAACAATTAGGTGGCCAAAGGAACATAGAATTCTTTTAAAATAAAAAAGTTGAATTGAATTACCTATTTCTCCTCTAAACCTATGAGCAGATGTTTTCTTGTTACCCTAGCAATTAATTACAGCTTAAATTACAATAATCTGTTTATTTGATTTGCAGTTATAAATGTCAAAGAGCAGTTTTTTTTAACTCAGAATAAAACTGAGTGAAGTTTCAGGTCTGAAGTCTGTTACATAGAATAGACATAGTTTAACAGCACAGAAATGTACCATTCAGCCCAACTAGCCTGTGCCAGTTTATACTGCAAACAAGCCCCAGCCCCCCCTTCCCCTTTCCTGTACCCTCTATTCCGTTTTCCCTCATCTATGTATATGTATATGTAAAGAAGCTGATATGAGTGACATGCTTCAACTTTCCACACCCAGCTAAAAAAAGCTGATATGAACAAATTCACATTTTGCAAGAATCATTCTTTTGATTTTCATCCAATACGAAGGTGAATTTTACCAACATCCAAGTTTCCTGAAAGCCAAAGCTGCAAACTCTAGGCCTCTGAAGTTATGCTGTTATTGTTTCCAACTGAGATAATTCAAGTGACTCACCATCATATGTGGAATATGTGCCTGGAAATGTAAGTTGCTGTGTGGATAAGCACCGGGCAGTTCGTCTCAATCAACTGCAACTCCCAGCTGTGAATGCTAATTGCTTAACAAGTTGTGAAATAGCTACTATTGGATTTGAAGCAACACCACAGAACTACAAGTTGCTGCTGAGAATTCCCCCCCCCACGTGAGAAATGGTGGTTTTGACACCAAAAGTCTGAGATTAATAACTTTTGGTTTTAATCTACATGATTTGCCAGAGCGGCCCAAAAGAAAATGAAATAATCCTTGCAATTTGATAGAACGTTTTTCACATCCTCTCAAAGTATATTAGAATACATTATAATATGAAGTTAGCACCATTCTCTTCAGCAGCCTGGATTAGACTGGAAAAACGTACGCTCTGAGGCCAGCCTTACTCAAACAGTGAAGCTGGGAGTGAAACTCATGCCTGTTTTTTGGAGTCTTATGGTCTCTATAGCTGCAGTCATTTCAAATGAGCTGCAATCAGCAATGAGCAATGTGCACTCAGTATACAGATTGTAAATCTAATAGGGAAAGAGTAATATTCTAAGTCTCTTACTTCTGATGATTTTGACCTGACTGATATCCTGAAAGTGTTTATTTGGTACCATGACTGCTATTTGCACATTCTGTTCTCATTAATTGTAGCCCTGAGTTCAATGAGTCCATGGAAACACTTAGATAGGCAGAGTTTAATGCTCAACGATGAATGACAATCAATATAAAGGTTTTTCCTGAGTGTAATTGTTCCTGTGATGATGCAATTTTATATTTGCAAAAAGACATGTGTTGCCCTTAACAATATAAAGCATGGTGTCATTGAGATTTATGGCCAATTATAACAGCAGCATCGTGTGTTTCTGTTAATAGAGGCTGTCAATGCTTAGGATTTCAATTAAATGTGTGTCAGATTGGCTGAGTGGTAGCACTCTCATCTCTGAGTCTATGGGTTTCAAGATCCGCACATAGAATGACAGACAGACAGTGTTGGGGGGTTTGCATTGTCAGTCGTACCATCCTTCAGATGAGACGTAAAACCGGGGTCCTATGTGCCTGTTCAGGTAGACATTAAAGATCCCATAGCACTATTCGAAAAGAAAAGGGAAATTCGCTACTGAATATTCAGTCGTGCTCTGTGGAATAACTAACACTTGTCTAAGTTTGTCTTTGTTTTGAAAGATGTCACCTTTTCTTGTCCAACTTACTATAATGGTTATAATGTGCTGTAATTGTAGGTGGTTGGTCTACACACAGCAGTTGCTCTACACACAGCAGCAATGTGATATTTATCAATATTAAAAAAGTGTTAAGTTTTTTTTCACAGCTGAAAAATACCCACCCCCCCAGCCCCCTGGGAAAGGCAACCAGATCTTCTGCCAACATAAAATGTAAGCTCCAGACCCAAATAGAATGAATAAATGTTTTATTGGCATGTTTCTCATTTGTAAACAGCATTGGGCATGAAAAAAATACTTTCAAAGCCATTTTTGATGATCTGTACTGTCATAAAAATTAAAGAGATCTCTTGAAAACTTATAGGGGCAAAAAAAATCTACAGTTTGCGCATTGAAATGTACTTTCCACTCTACTGCTTTTATTAGATGGTGCAGAGCGAATCTAGCCATGAAACAAGCTCTTTTATTCCAAGTGGTTCATTTTAATCGTTTTTTTTTGCATGGCTGAAATTCATGCTTAAAGATATACTTGTATATCAATTAATTAAATACAGCAGAGAATTAAAAACATCGTGCTTCTTCATGGAGCGAGATTCACTCACTGACCAAACCTTGGTACAACGGTCATAAAATTACAACATACAGAATCAGAACTAGGTGGCCTTTCATTTTAATAAAACCAAGATTCTCAAAGGTGCAAAAATTACTTAGGCCCAAAAATTAGACAAACAGATGAGAAAAAAAAACAAAACTCAAAACTGGAAGGTTTAAGCACACCTCTAACATTGTACAGTGTGTGCATTTGAGTGGCGCGTGTGTGTAATGTGTGTGTAATGTATGCACAAATAGTATAAAGCGTCTCTGCCCTGACCCAGAACTTACGGCAAACTGCAGCTTAGGCTGAGACTTTGTGTGCGTATTAGACGATATGAGTAAGTAACGAGTGCTGGGCTTTAAAATCCAAACTGTAAAACCATTCAGTTACATCATTTCTAACAAAATCAGCAGGTTTGGCCTTTAGCCACGTGTGGGCAACTAATTTTTAAAAAGGAAGTTACTGATGACATTTGTCTGTATTTCTGATTACGCTCTATTCCATCAATTACACTGGATTAACACCTTCCCCACCCCAACCATCCCCCCTATAGTACACGCCTAGCTTAAATTCATCAATGAGGTATGTGCACACATGAATAAAATAGATGACAAATTCTTAGGTCTGTGCACGGTTTTATTCAGCTATAAAATCCCACTTGGGATTTAGCTTTTCTAGCGATGAGGTGCACAGAGACCACATTATCTTCATTTCCCCCCATTTGCACATCGTTAAACTTTACAAACAGACCAGAATGCACATGATTCCAAGTCAAACACTGGGCTTCTGATTGGTGGGCACCAAGCCAATCAGTGCTGGTGTCATCAGGTACACCTAATGGATGGGATCGACAGCCAGAGCAGCCGTCCACAGTGTCAGGGAGAGAGAGGCAGGCAGGAGGCTCAGGGTCAGTCCTGGCTCGAGTCTTTACTGGGGGCTCCATCCAAATAAATCTTCAGTGCTTTCTCTTTACGAGGCGAGTAGTTCACGCGGTGACCTGATTTTTGCAGGCGACTGCTTTCCTTCTTCACCAGTTCGTTTCTCTGCTCTTCTGTGAGTTCCATCAGGGTCTCAGTCTTGTCCCTGCGCCAGGGAGCAACAGCCAAAGGGTGGGGGGGGGAGTGGGGAGTACATTGAAGTCAGACAGGCAAATGTGTATGGATTTACTTCATTTAGTTTTAAAGGAACATTTCAGGATAATGTACTGCAACCACCTGATACTTTTTGAAGAGAAGCTCCCTGAACAATACAGACTGGATTTTCAATCCCGACATCTCCTTTGGTATAATTTCAAGGTTTTTTAAAAAAAAGTATTTTTGATGCCCCTTTGTCTAGCTTTAGCTCCCAGTACCTTCTGTTGATCAGAAAGCAGCAAAGGTACTGGGAGACAAGGCTCAGTGATGCAACATTAATTTCCAAGCCTGTTTCTTGGAAATAGAACAGACTAAAGCACAGAAGAAATGACTGTGAAATTGGGAAGTAAATTATTTCATGGAAATTTCTTGTATCCTTAAACATATAGCAACAGATCACTTATAGATGTAGATGTATTTTAAAGAGGATAAAGTGTAGGGGAGCAGGTATTTTTTCTTAAAAATCCAAGATACCGATCCCCGACTGTTCGGAGCCTTGGGACGTCCTCCTGACGTTAAAGGGGCTTTCAAATGTAATTTTGCTGTTGTGTTATATGAAATTAATCACCAGAAGTTTTTTTATCAAATAATAATCCTTGTATTTGATATAGCACTTTTCATGCCTTCGAGATATCTCAAAGCGCTTCACAGAATATACAGTAAAGTGAATTGACTGTATATAAAATGCTATGAATTGTGATTTTTATTTTTCTACTTTGCATTACATTTGTGCAAATTAGTCTTAAAAAAATTAGTTTGTAAAAATAAAATACACAAGTGCTGAACTGTATTGTTAAAGGTGCAACACATGTACATTAAATAAAACATTTAGTTATCAGCAAATGTTGAAAAAAAATGAAAATGTACCTGAGTGACACCAATTACCTGTAAAAAATGACAGCTCCATCATCACAGATGTAGAGCGGCCAAACATTCAAGGTTGATACCTTAGGATTCCAGTCTAAATCCTGATGAATTTCCAACACTGAAATGTCACAAGGAAATGTCCCCCTGCCCTACACAACACATTGATAAAGAATTTGTCATCACAGATACTTATTACACATTCACGTATTCCGTTGAACAGAGCTTTTCTGGTTTTGCAGGTCACACAAAGTCAAATAAATAGCTCAAAGCAGTTCTTGCAATTTAGTGTAACTGATTTGATTAATTTCATCTATTCAGTAATTTAAGTACTGGGATGTATATTTCTCTCTCTGTACCACTGCCCCAAATGTGGGTGTCACATTCATCAGAACAATGAAAATTGATTAAATAATTTAGCAACAGGTAATAAAGGTTACCGTTCATAGGGATATCACCTAATAAAGCACAATGATTGATGACTTATTTGGGCTGACATTAATCCTGTGGGTGAAAAATATTGATGCCAATAGCTGCAAGCTGAAACCAAAACTAGAATTTATGTATTACTGTGTCTCCAGACTGCAATTACTTGGCAACTTTACCAACCATTTCATTTCACCAAACCCGCTAATCTACCCAACACAAACTTCTCTCGGAGAGGATGTTTGTGTACTATCATGCTGAAGAAAAAAACCTGCATTTCAAACTGAAAACAAATCCTGCTTATTCAAGCCGCTTTATTTTCCAATTCCGTGACCTGAAGGCAATCTTTTAGAGCAGCACTCGAAACATGTTTAGCACTACAGCAATTTTTTCTGAGAAGGTGGACAGGAATTACTGCTTATATAAAATAAAAGTTGCAATAAAAAAAATGTTGAGATAAGAAAACAGAATTGTTTAAACTTTGCTGAGGTTCCCTGGTGACATTTCAAAGATTTTAGAAGTACACAAGATGCATTATTCCCAGGATGCTGATTTTATCCTCAGGCCAAAAGACTGACAAAGGCCAGAAGGTAGCCAAGTTATTCTGTTTGGTGAAATGTCACCATTTATAATTAATTGAGGTGACATTTCAGTTTACTTGGTGGTTGGATGGTGTGCTGATGGGGGGGGGGGGGGTTGCAGGAGAGCAGAGTACACTTAGATATATATGAACTTTCCAGGGAGTTTTAAACGGATTAGATCACTGTAAACAGCAGGCGCGCATGGTCTAATGGATACAGTAAATTGTACACTGGAAAAGATCATTTTGACTTGTATTTAGCACTCACCTTTGCAAACTCTAGGTTTTCAACAGGAATTTTACTTATCGAACATAGCTGTTAAAAGAAAAAAATATGTAGAACACAATGTGGCTAAAATCAACTCTCTCTTTGTTACTATTATAGCTTCTACAGAAACACGATTGGCAGAAATTACAGCATAGGAGGCGACAAGGCCAACGGAGTCTACATTTGTGGAGTCCTGTAGCTCAGTGGTTAGAGCACTCGCTTTGCAAGCGAGAGACCTGAGTTCAATTCCAGGCAGAGGGCGAAACCTTGGGCAAGTTTCCTTACTCCACACAGAGCCTAATAATAATCCCTCCAAAACAAAAACAATAATAAATTGGTCATTTTCAATCTACGACTGTTTGTGGGACATTGCTGTGTGCAATTGGCTGCCGCGTTCACCCACAAATATACAGTCAATTCACTTTACAGTGTGTTCTGTGAAGCGCTTTGGGACGTCCTCCCGACGTGAAAAGCGCTATATCAAATGCAAGGATTATTATTATTATTACATTGGCATTAAATCCTGAGCACAGCTCACTATTCTAATTTGCATTACAACTTGACACTGCTCACCTTCTCTTTCAGCTCTTCAACACTGCTGCTCTCCAGGACCACCTCCCGGAAAGCCTCCAGCTTGATCTCCGATGGCCTCCACTGTCTGGTCAGCACAGCCAGCTGTGACATGGATTTCATCTTCTCGGGGTCTGAAGGAACAACACACAAATCTCAGTCCATAGTAACTGAAGACCTAGTTTTACTGCAAACAACTTTCCCTCCATTCATTTGAATCGTATATTATCTAAATAGTATTTGATGTTGACTCAGAAGGCAGAGCGCAATTTATTGGCATGTTGATTTCTACTTGATTGTAGTTCTCGCTTGCAGTTCTCTCCCTTCTCTGAACTTTTATTGGTTTAGACTTGAGCTTGGTAGAAGAGCAACGATTTTACTTTCTCATACAAACCTTCAAACCACGTTGAAACTGCAAAATAGCTGTTGCAAGCTGCCTCATGTGATAACAGTCGGACCTCAGCACTTACAGGTCTGTCAGTCATTCTACTTACCTGGAGAGTTGCCTTCTCTTTTAACCTGAAAATCTGCTGATGCAAAATATACTCATTGCTTTCAGTTTTTCTCAAGTTCTACACTGAGTATTTAGTTCTGTTTTAAAATTGGCCAAACTCCTCAAATGGTTTGGGCTAACAATTTGGGAGAATAACTTTATAAATTAAGACACAGTAAATCAGAGATTTGATATGTATATCACCTACTGAAATGTGCTCCTTTTAGAAAGTAAATTCGAAGTAAAGTGCATTCTTGCCCCGGGTAGGTTTGAAGAACAGCCTCTCACGATAGAAATATTCAAAATTAATATTCTTTAATAGTGCTTGTGAGGGAACTCAGTAAGTTCATTTCCTGATACAGCTTCAGGTCCTGCACCTCTACCATTTTGTGATCAGCATGCGTGTAACCTGCACCTGCTAAGGCTAATGGATGACTGTTGGGAGGCAAGTAGTCTCATGCAACAAATTCTCATCTAATTCATGAAGACAGCACAGCATCTGACTGACCACTGTCTCCTTTGCTCAGTGTAGCTCAGGTGATGAACTGAGTGTGGGTTCAACCTGCATGTCTGTAACTATAATCACTCCAATGTACAACATAAATACCTTGTCTCTTTAAAATTATGGCATTATTCTCTTCTCTTTCTCAGCCCCACCCCCCCCCCCAACCCTCACTGATTTAGCTCCTATGAGGTGAAGTATGTTCTGTGCTGAGATGGCAGAGTGACTGGCCTCCTGTCCCACCCAGTGCCAGTGATCTTCCAGACCAATTTCCATAGAAACTGTCTGTCAATCAGATTCACCCCTTCACTGTGTGGAGAAATGTCTGGGATGTAGATCAGATGCTCAGTGGAGGGAAAGACTGGATTGGTGCCTCCGCCACCGTGATCAAGTTGTGATGTTGGAATTCTAAATGATCCTAGCTTTTTCCAGCATTACCATCAAGTGCTTCAAGGAACACTTCCCAGTTACTAGAGATATTGATATCTTCCTCATAAACATGACAATCCAGAAAAATGGTTCCAGGGTTTTTCCAGGTTTTCTTTCGGAGTCTAAACCTGTCACAAAAGGAAAACGGATCATTAGCCATGAGATGCCACCTTCTCCTGCAAACAAACTCTTTTCCCCTGACCAAATAATGTTATCACTCAATTCCAATAAAGTACTTCAAAGTAAACAAATTTAAACATACTAACAGGTGAACTCTAGTCATTTCCCTATGAAAACCCTTCATAGCAAATCATTGCTTCTGTGTGGGAAAGAGGGCAGATATCAGACTACATGCTTTCTCCATTCTTTCAACAAGTTTTACTTCAGAGCTGCAACTCTTAGCTGTTATGCAGCAATCCTACAATCATTAAAGCATTGTAAAAAGGAACTGCTAAAATTCATAATTATTACATGGATTTTTCACTTGCCTACTTGCATTAACAAATACTTTAAAAATAAAACTGAAGTAGGTTGTGGGGCAGCAGGAGCAGACTACGCTGGCAAACCTTCATCATTGATCAATAGCAACAAATGTACAAAGTAGTAACAGCATCAGGTTTGTTCCTTTTGTTATGTAATGGCTCCACAGAGTGACCTCGTCGGAAATGGCAGAGTGGCCCTTTGTTAACGTAAGCCACTACACACGTGTGTAGATATATCTAGCAGATTGTTACCAGCACAATTACAACAGCTGCTCCATCAACAGGAAGTGTGTGATAGAGACCGTCAACCATATGGTCCTTCACATGTCCTCAGTTCCCACCTGTCAATGCTGAGATCCAACCCACATTGTTCTCTGAGTTGCGGCAGCAGCTCCTCTTTTGACTGGCACACTGTCATGCCTTTAGCAAACACAGCATCGAGGAGAAATTTACAGGGCTGTAACACAAGCAGAACAATTTACAATGCACACATTTAATAATAATAATCTTTGCATTTGATATAGTACAATGGGCTTTGCAATTTTCTCTTCAATCAAGAATAGGTCAAAAGATTCATGCTGCTGCACATCCTTCTACTGTTCTGTTTTCAATTCAACAAGAATAGATGCTCCAATTCTGTCCATTATTACTTAAGTATCTTATGCATGTGTCCACAAAAGTAAACAGAAATGTACAGTGAAATTAAGTTGTCTTACCTCTGGATCATTCACTAACAGCTGGTAGACTTTGACACGGTATTCTCCTTTCCGCAGTGCTCTTCCAAGTCTAATAGTTATCTACAAATTAAAACACCTGGTTAATTTCAATGCAAAAATATACTGATGGTATTTCTCCACATCACAAAGCTATAGAGTTAAATGTTGAGAAACAAGGACAACAGCCATGAACTGTGTGTTCAGTGAAGCTCATATATAATAATAATCATTGCATTTGATACAGAACCATATCACATCTTCGAGATGTTTCCAAGTCTCACAGTGACTTCCCTGTAGAAAAGGCCCCCAAATCACTAAAATATTAGTTTATATTCTTTGATTTTAAAACAATTTTTTTTAAAAAACACGTCAATAAAACTTGCTACCAGGATAAAAATGTAGTAGAAACACTTACCTGAAAACCATCCCATCTCCTGAGCAGAGACATCATTTTATGCCATTTCCGAGATTGACTGCTGAAATATGAAGTTTCAGCACTCAGCCTCCAAGCTTCGCAGAGCAGCAGCAACAAAGTGTTGCTGGAAGGTTGACTCTGCCCTGAAACTTCACCTTTCAGCACCCGTCCTCAGTATAAAGCATGAAGATATTGGCTCTAATCTGGAGATCCCCAACAAATATTTTTAAAAGCAACTTCTTTTGCCAGACACCCTCCATCACCCCCTCCCCCTCACCACTTTTAAAGCCCACCTTAAGACCTACCTCTTCGATCCCAGTTTAGATATCCTTCTCCTCGCCCACCCTCCTTAGTTGCCCCACTTCCCCCAGCTCTGTTGCCTTGTCAGCTGTGTGATGCCCTTTCAGACACTCTCCCAACATGAAAGGCACTACATAAATGTGTATGGTATTCCCTTAAGAAGATAATAATAATAATAATCCTTGCATTTGATATAGCGCTTTTCACGTCGGGAGGACGTCCCAAAGCGCTTCACAGGACACACTATAAAGTGAATTGACTACATTTGTGGGCGAACGCGGCAGCCAATTGCGCACAGCAATGTCCCACAAACAGTCGTAGATTGAAAATGACCAATTTATTATTGTTTTTGGTTTTGGAGGGATTATTATTAGGCGTGTGGAGTAAGGAAACTTGCCCAAGGTATCGCCCTCTGCCTGGAATTGAACTCAGGTCACTCGCTTGCAAAGCGAGTGCTCTAACCACTGAGCTCCAGGACTCCACAATCCTTAATTCATCCAATGTATGCCTGTAACATGGATTCACTTAACCACAGAAGCAAGTTTAGCTGAGAATTATACATAATTAGCTTGATGTCCCACCTTGTTGTCATCAGAGAACGATGACAGCGTCTCGTTTAGACGAACACTCTCAAACTCTTGGTTGTTAGCATAGACCCGGAAGACCTTAAACTGGGAAGATGGAACTCCAACACACGGCTCTAACTGGTGTTTAAAGGCAGCCAGTGTGATTCGTTTGTCAACAAACACTAACAAACCTGCAAAAATAACATGATTATAAAAAAATTAAAAAACTGCACAGTCAAGAAAAATAAATAGCAATACATCGTAAAGCAGTGTACTTACTCCCAAACAATTTCAACTGAAATGACATTAGGCCACAAACTAATTGTCCAAACATTTTAAACAATCCATCACTAGTATTTTAGGAAGAAGATCAGTGAGCATAGGAAATGATTTTGAGCAGCTATACATGTATAGATTCTGTACTTCCAAACGAAAGCTGTATACTAAAGTGAACATTGCTGATAACAACGGAAATAATTTGAGATGATGAAGTAAGAACACCACCCAATATTAGGGCATTTCCTCTGGGATATTGGCATCAGTAGCTAAATAATCCTGATATCAATATCGCACAAGACTGATCAGTTTACAAGAATGCACTATTTATACCTACTGAAATACAACAATGCTGTATACAGCACCAGTCAATTAGAATTCTTGCGGTGTAGCACATTAATACACTTCTATGTTTGCCTCTGGATCATGTCCACAAACTTCCATCACCTCTGAGGAAAGAATGCCTCAAGCAAATGTGAAAAAGTCTGACACAATAAAAAATATTCCTGACATGTTATGGTTATGAATACACCTCAGACATTTTAATCCCACAGAATATGAAAAATTGAAAACATAATGAAACCCTCAGCTAGGTTGGATCTAAAATTGGATGAAATTATGCAGTTCCACCAAGCCAAACTTGCATTGTAATGTCAAGGGAGTTATTTCAAAGATTTGTATTTCACTGCTTTGCCCTTAACCCCTAGCAAAGTTACACTCAGATTTCTTCAAAGCAATGAATCCACTTACAAAGCTATACCTCTCTAGATGATGGATAATGGTAGGCTAAACCATTTACCATTATTATGAATCCAAACACTAATTACTTCAGAACCCTTAAATTCTTAAAAGGTAACATGAAAACCAAATTTTGAAAAGAGAGTTTAACACTTAAACCAAACATTCTGTAGCCCACACAGAGTGCTCTACATAGTGATACAATTGGATTCATACCAAATCATAAGGAAACTGCTGATAGAGGGGTAGATCACCTTTTGTAAATGCTTATATCCTGGGAACATGATTAAAGGAACTGTATGATGTATATTATGTACGCTTAAAGCATTTCCCAAACACAGTAATTTGAAATTTCTGCACTCAAATGAAAGACTTAATTACATACAGCCACATCTATAGGCACAAAACAAATGTAATTTGTATTGTATTTGTCTAGCGTGACATTAGCACCACTATTCTTTGGGCTGCGATAGGAATTAATTAAGGATTATTCATGGGCAAAAATGGTCCAATTTGAAATTAAGGTCTGACCATTATTACAATAAATTCAAACCTTAGACCAAGGATAGTGACTTTGACTCAGATTGTTTCAATTCCGCAAGCAGAAGATAGATTAATCATATCTTCTGCTCGTGTGATTCAAACAATTACAATTTCAGTACTGGCATGTAGCTGGATCTCCTCTATCCCCCAACCCCCACCATTAGTCCATGTCATTGGGATTTAAATGTATTCTGTTTGTGGACTGATGGGAGGACATAATTACAATGCTACCAACTCTACCACCATCAGATAGGGAATACAGTTCCTTTAACATATATTTTACAACAAATTAAACATACTTTTTTGTCCATCACCTGATCCATCTTCACAAGTATTCTGTTCTGCTCTGAAGTACATATATGGTGTTGCGCCTCTGCTCTTCCCATTCTCATCATATTCACTGTCAGTGCCAGAATCCTCCTCTGCTGTGTCCCACGTTTCTTTCTTTCCTTCATTTGCTTTTGACCGACGGCTGTACGTAATGCTGTGAGAGTCAAGTCCATTCGCCAAAGGGTTGGAAGTATTTTCCGCATTGCACAAAGTGTCACTACTGTGACTGGAGCTCAAGATATCACTGTCGACTGAACTCGTACTCCTGTCGTTATTTAAATCGGAATCGGAGCGCTCCTCTGACTGAAAGTGATTCTCGGGATCTGAGGAAGGAATCCGATTTTCTAGTTCTCTGTTGTCAACTGAGGCTGACAAGTCTGCCTTTTGTGAAGGTGACTCAATATTTTCAAAGTCACTAGCGTCTGTGCTTTTTAGACTGTCTCCATTTCCTCCTGGACCACAAGACATCTGCTGCTGTTGCTGCTGCATTGACAGATTCTTCAGTTTCTCGGTGCTCTCCTCCAAAATAGCTTCCACCGATTTCCTGTGAGCTGGAGACCCTTTTGTACACTCATAAACGTATTCTGGTTACATTGATCCCCTGCAGCTTTTAGGTAAAGATTTTTTACTCCTTGGGATCCTGGTGATTGTTCAGGTAAGGAAACGCACAGCCTAATGGTGTTGGCGTGCTGATCCAACAGGCACCATAAGTGTGACTCAGTGAATGCCACACGATTGTCTTGCGTTTCCGAACTTTCCACAAATACCTAATATTACAAAAAACTTGCAGTTAGCATTTACCAAAGTGAGTTCACGTTTCTATCTGAATTTAATTGTGTTTTTGTTATTGGGAATCCATGTATTGATTATGATACTTGCAGTTAGCTACGGGTTACATTCAGTATTAGTTTGAAACAATTATTCTCTCCAGATTGAGTGTAATGTACCAACTCTGTATTTAATCATTTCATTCCACATATTATTTTGGGGGCACTCTCACACTAAAGCTCTCCTAACTACATGATTGTTAAATTGTGATATTATCAGTTCACTTTGCAAACTCACCTTATTACTCCTGAAGAAACCTTCAGCCTTCAGTGTTTTGTTGGGCACATACAGTAGTCGTAGATCATTACAACAACGCTCCAATACTATACGCATAGTCTCAATGGAAAGTCCTGAAGTCTGTCAAAAAATTAAATCACAGGTTTCTGTGATATAGGAATTCTTTCTGTATTTATCATTCATCCTACATTTAAATATTAACTCAAACTTTTCCTGGGGAATAGGATGTAGCTCAGTGGGTCAGTCAGAGTGAGGAACATTGTAGAGCATCATCTTGTATTAAGCACTTCAAAAGATTTAACTTACACAATATTCTGATTAAACAGCAAATTATCTATAACAACAGCCTAGAATTCATGATCCAAACTTTGCAACTGAAAGGCCACAATGGCCGATGCTGAACTACACAGTGTAGCACTTCAAGCTTTTCAGTAAAGTCATAGTTAATTATAGGATTCATAACTCTATGTCTCAGAAATTTTCAGTCATCGGATTACGCGAGATTGCAAAAAACTTTAAAAGTTTAAAATAAAAGCACACATTTGCCAGTAAAACCTTGCTTGCTGTTACACACTTGACAAGGAATTATAACAGAGTTCTCAAGATTCAGCACATTAAGGGCTGCGATCTTAACCAGATGAGAAACAGAATCTTCACTGGGATTGGGGTTTAAAGAAAGTCTGTTGGAAAAAGGAGTTTTTAGTAATATTGTGTTCAGATATACGAACACGTGCGTGTGTGCAATGTTCAGATATACCAACACGTGTGTGTGGAATGATCAGATATACCAATACATGTGCAATATTGAAGGGTGAGTTTCGGGAGGGAAGGAAACATCTGAGCAAAATTAATCGTGACTTTTTACTTATACAGAGCAAGAGTAGACATTAGCTATCGGAGAGCTAATTGATAGAATTTCTTTTTTCAACTCTGTCTGTCATTTTAAAATAAATTTTCTTCCTTTACAACATTAGCATTGATTTTGGCATATGAAATAAAAACCCAAGATGTACTCTGCCCTTTACCATTTAACTCTGTCCTTGAATATTTGTAGTAACACTCTGAGAAGATTAAAAATAAGAAAACATAGCATGGTCTTGCCTCTGGGTTGTTGTGTGGTAAGAGATGTTGACCTTATTCCAGTAAAATGTTAATTTTATTTTGCTCAAATGTTCTAGCTGGAGAATCTCATGCTCCAGTGAGCCGAGTATACTCATCTACTTTAAATAGAACTCCTTACTCTATAAAAATGCCACACATTAGGATGAAGCTATTTATCAAGATCTGTCATTAATCTACAAATTCCTTGTCAAGCCTTTCACTACAGCTTATTGATTAAGTAAATTATTTAAGTACTAAAGCCTTTCAAAATGTTTTCATTAAAAGTGAGGCATGTTCTGCCTTAATAAAATGAAAGTGGGCTCTCCTAAACCAAAAACATGGAGGGAGTAATGCATACTGCGAGGTTTACTGTGAAAAATAAAACTGGAGCATTCAACATCATCCATAAATTCTTATTATTGACAAACATCATATTTTATTATTAGAAGTCGAACATTAACAGTAATGAAAGGGTCAATTTCTAAGCATTTTAATGAATGCATCTCTTTTTAAAATGNTTTTTTTTAAATGAAGCCCATTCTCTAATTTTGACCTCTGTCAATTACTGGCTGAACCTTTGGGAAAGAATTGAGACATTCCCAACTGCACATAAACTGGCTTTCAGCCAACCTAAATGAGTTGGGTAGAATGTGAAAGTTATCCAAGTACACCATTAACATTCTGTAAAATTAGCTTACTGCCTTTGATTTTAAATTGAAAATAAATAAATTACCAACAAATCCCTTGCCCTGCTTCTTTCAACTCCTAACATTATGGTTCCTTTCCTAATCTATCCTGCGGCAACTCAAGGCAAACCCAGCGATAGATTTACACTAGTTCTACTGCAGCACTGACATCTGCCAAACATCATCTGAGAGCTTCTCACTGGTTACCTTTTAAACAGAAATATCAGAATAGATGCCATGTGACTGATCCAGACTGTTCTCTGTAAGCACCTTCTTCATCACTTCCAAACTTTGTAAAAGTGGAGCTCATAAAAGCTAAGAAACTAATGAACCAAATGGCCTGCAGCTCCTACCTGTGAAATTAGCTGTTTGAACTCTGTCACTGTCTGATTAAGGTAGGCCCGGACACTGATGGGTGGAGCCACTGTTTCTGTCTTCAGGTCAACCACATGCACTTTCACCATCACTTCTAAAGAAAATGTAATGGATCAAAGTGAGATGGGTAAAATGACAATGAATTTTTAAATTCTGAAACCGATGTTAAGACTGAGCACTAATTCCTGGCTTCCTATTGCCAGAATGCATGGCAAAACGATAATGAATTGTCTACAAACAAAACAAATTAAGTGACAGCTAATCCACACTTTAAATTAATAACAAACTATGTATAATACAGTGTAAAGAGAGAACAAAACATAAAATGTACATGATTAAAGAAAGCATTTAATGTTCACTGATCACTCAACTATTCTACAGAAAATATATTGTAAATGGTCCCAGGTCAACAGATGTTCCCCACATCATTCTCAATAGTGAAAGACATTGGACAGTGATCTGTCAATTACTCACTGATAGATTCAATCTTTTTCATTCTTCAAACTAAGTTATCCTACACAACCCCCTGGCAGACAGCTAGCCTCTCTAGGAATTTGCTCTGACTGCGGGACTCTAATAGAAATATTTATAAAGCAACTTACCGCCCGATTTATATGGTTGAAAAACTTGATCAGGTCGTCTTGTTTCTAACAGCAAGTCAAACATGTAAGATGACTTTACTCCACCCAGTAGTAATCCCATTGGTGTATCTTCTTCTCTCTCGTATGAACGTTCTAAGTAATCATGGAACTCATCATACTTGACAAGTCGACAACAGTCAACAGGAAGTACACCTTCTAAATCCATGATCTTAAAAGTGAAAAACAAATGAATAAAGTACTCATGATTGTGCTTCTACAAACTCAGCTACAAAACATATCACACGCACAGCTAGCAAGTCATTATATTAACAAACTTATTAGCTTCCAATCCAAAAGTTATACTAGATACTTTGTCAGAGGTATTCATTTTAATGGCACATTTTTTTCTCCTGTGCTATTTTCAGTCTCTGCTCATAACCTGGCCAAAACATATCAACGCACTGCACAGGATTTTATTGTAAGTTATAGTGACTGCTTATTTACAGGCAAACTAACTAATAATACACAACTCAGTAATATAACAGGAAACTATAGATATAAGTGGTCTGTGGTCATAATTCTCTGGCATTGTACTGAGAAACAATTACATTTTTTATTATAATTAGTTTGCCAATTTGTTCCTGTAGTTTGCATACCTTGTATGCTGCCTCCACTGCTTCCTGCAGAGTTCTGTCCTTGTGAACCTCCAACTTGTTCTCCATCATTACCTGCCGTGCAGGATGCATACAGAACAACTTGATCTGTGATAAGAAACAGATTGATAAATGTCTTTCTTTTAACGATATGAAATATTCATTTAACCATTCTTCAGAGTTGTACATATTCAAATTTCCAATGTAACCGTGAAAAGGATCTTAAAGGTTAACCGTTGACATGCAGTACCTTGCAGGTATTACGTTCAATTTCACGCTGCCTTTTTTCTTGTTCCTCTATTTCCTTCTCCTTCTGTACCAGTCCCTTGATGTGATCGGGAAATTCAAGAACCTCCAAGAACTCTGTCAAAGAAGCAAGATTGTGCTCTACATCAAATACGCTCACCCAGAACACACTGCTAAACAGTTTGGGTTGAGGTTCTTAGTTTTCATGAATCAATCATTATTCTTTATTAATTATAAACCACTGAAACACAGTATTATTCTCACTGGCTACGTACAAATTAAAACATTAGGCTATAATCATCAAGGATTTACTTACTTGAATTCCTTGCAGAATCCTTTTGTCTGTAAATTAACATGTATGCATTTGTTGAGCTGGTGAGAAAGAGAGATCAGTTAACTACATATATTCATAGTAACAGCTCTAATCATACTTCTGAATTTGGTGAAGCAGGCATCAATAAACTAAAAGCCTAACATTTATTTTTTCCCCTCAATTCTACTTATCATCTATCATTACAAAAGCACATTCAAATATCTACTGTGTTTTGACGTACAAGTCCATTTTGGTTCCAATAAGATGCACTGCCGGCAACAGACAATTATTTTCAAAATCTAATGAAACAACTCTCAGGATCTAACCAGTTAAACTATCATTCCTCAGGTTACAAAAGGGGGTTACAATACAGACAGTCTTACAATACATTACAGCCTTTACAATATCGGAAACAGAACCCTGGGAGGAGAGGTCAATAAACTCAAAATAAACTCAATATCTGTATACAGTTCTTCCAAAAATCTTCAGTGAATGTGTGGTATGTTCTTTAACATCACCTGGCAAAAGCACTGGAATAATAGCCTCTGCTCCCTGAAGAGCCACCATAGGTTTTCCTAATATCATCTTGAGTAATCTGAAAACAAAAACAATCTGTTGCTATTTTCATTGAGAAATTACCAGTGAAGTAATTCACTAATAATAATAATCAATAATAATCCTTGCATTTGATATAGCGCTTTTCACGTCGGGAGGACGTCCCAAAGCGCTTCACAGAACACACTGTAAAGTGAATTGACTGTATACTTGTGGGCGAACGCAGCAGCCAATTGCGCACAGCAATGTCCCACAAACAGTCGTAGATTGAAAATGACCAATTTATTATTGTTTTTGGAGGGATTATTATTAGGTGTGTGGAGTAAGGAAACTTGCCCAAGGTTTCGCCCTGACCTGCCTGGAATTGAACTCAGGTCTCTCACTTGCAAAGCGAGTGCTCTAACCACTGAGCTACAGGACATCTTACACAAACCCACTAATGGTTAAATCTAGCAACCTCTTTTTTAACACACTGACAAGTGTACTGACATGTCCCTGTACATGCCATCAACGCACCACTAAAAACCAGAACATCTTATACACTTGCATAATCTGCCAAATATGTGCCAAATGGTGGAAATAATAATAATTTCAAGAACTGCAACATCAGCCAACAAAATGGCACTGTTTTTCTGTGACACATGTTGCTTTTTCCCACTAAAGATCCAGTGCTCAAGTATCCTGATCAGCTGCTTATTCTTTTCCTTAAATGTGCACACTCATCTGCATAGAGGATTTTAAATCTGAGCTCATTCTATAGTATTTTTAACTTGATATTTATTTTCGAGCTGCTTCTCTCTTCCTTGACGCTTATCTCTTTTTGTGTCAGTTAGCATCTTTCTCTTGTCCATTTATGTAACCACTGTTTATCTCTCCACCCCATATTCCAACTATGTACCTACCAATTCCTCCTTCTCCTACCCAAATCTGGCTTTGTAAATGTCTGCCAGCTCATGCTTTCGCAGCAACAATAATGGCCAAGTGGTGAGGCTATCCTGGTTTCACTTGTGATATGTAAACAGTTATTTCTCACAAGCGGAAGAACGGAAGAAAAACACACTTCCTCTACCTGAGTCAAAATCCCATAAAATACAGGAAATCCTGTAATGATGGGAGCACTGGTATTCGAGTTTACAGCTGTAGTAACTGCAATGAGGGTATTACATGGGAAATTAGGTCAGGTGGTGAGTGGAAGTACACAGTCTACATAACCTGTTCACATTAAGCAAAGGAGCCTTTTCCCCTTTTTTCGGGGTGGGGGGAGGGGGGGTTGATTTCAAACATACGTTTTCGGCAGATTTTTTCATAGACAGAATCAATATATTACTAGACTTAGAATCCAAGTCCCGTCTAGTTATATGATTTCAGTTTTATCTTGCTTTCTTCAACATCACGGATAAGGAAACCATTTGCTAAGACAACCAGTAATAACAACACCTTGCATTTATATAGCGTCTCTCATACCCTAATTGGCATCACTCACCCAGTGATGTGCCATTGTGTAAATTTATATTGTAACAAGTTACAAAAGTACTAATATGCAATTAGAAATAACCTGACAATATTAGCTTGAAAATAAATGTTTGTAACTAGCTGTAGGTTTCATTTTCTAAACTATATTTGAAGGTATAAATCATATTGGGATATAGTACAAAATGCTTCCATACCCTGCTAACATGCTGATCATTAAAACTGTACCATTGTCCATCACTAAACGATTTTATACAGGCATAGTAATGTCCACCAGCAGCACTTCCAGAATGGACCATAACCGAAAAGAGCTCGTAAATCCAGGAACCCTGCAAATAAATTAGCAAGTGCTAAAGAAAAATGCAAGACTCTTTTTTGACACTTTCATTTACAGTCTATAATAACATTTAATAAAAACCTTAATGTGACTGTTTGCCCAAATGCCAAAACAGTTTCTGTGAAAAGGCATCCAACACATTGGACAAATACGATCTTGAATTTGATTTCAAGGTAGGTCATCGTCATCATCACTACAATGTATGCTGGAGCAATGTACAATATATATCACAGCCACAGACAGAATCTTAGGGAGATAAACATAAAAACCTTTTCATTTCCTGCCTTTGAAGTCTTTTCACTATTGTGGTTACTTTCCAGGCAGATTCCTTCATCCACAACATCATCATTTGAGAAGTCGTTGCTCATCTGGTCACTATGACAACTCCCTTCATTCTCAGCACCACTGTCTGTGCAGCTCTCAGTCTGAGGAGATTTCTGACAAAGCAAAATGTGTGACGTAGATGAGATGAAAATTTATATTGTCAGGCAAAACACAAAGTTTAGAGCGGAGTATGGGCCACATGCAACTTTTATGATTCTACACAGCACATATATTTATCTAAAAATATTGTTGAAAAAATATTCAAAATTTGCTTTTATTGTAGATTAATCTTCGGCAGCAATGTGGGTAATAATATAATTGACAAAAGGTAACCTTGAGAATGTGTTTCCAAGGAAGCAGCCACAAATGCACTTACCTCCTCTTCCACATCTATAAAGGGACTCATGTCAAGCTCTGCTGGGAAAGTCATCCGGTCATTTAACTTTATCCTGTGCATTGTTGTGTAGTCAAAGTCAAACCTCTTCAGCTGCAGGGTCAATAGGTATGGGAAGTGCAGGAACTTCAACCCCTAAATGAAAGATTCAGGAGTTGAGTTATGCACTTGAAAAAATATTTTATCAGATGTGTTGCTGTCAGTTTCCTTACCTTGCGTGCATCACATTTTTTCTTGCAGCGCTCACAAAGGTATTGGTTGGGACCATCTAGGGTTTCAGGTTGGATAAACGCTTGTAAAGCTTCTTCCTAATATAAGGACAAGCAAAATAAGTAATTACCACAAATACGATAGAACCAAGGAATAAAAAAATTCAATTACAAGTTTTTAAATCACGTCCCTCTCCATCAGTCCATTTAATGGTAACAGTATTAAATTGAGGAAAATTATTAAAATCATCAATAGTTGTGGTTTTGAGAAATTAACTCTACAATTTGCTTACATCCGAATTAATATAACGCATGTATTACAATGCCATTCCAATCCAATTTCTCCAGGTTGATTGATACTGGACTAAGAGGGCAAATGTAGAAGTGTGTCTAAAAATAGTAAATAGTATTCCTGGATTCTAAACAGGAAAATGTGTTTAGAAAAAGGATTTGTAGTTTGTAAGTTGATATTGATACTTACTCCCACCCATTTGGGGAGGACAAGTTTGCAGGGCTATGGGGAGAGAGCTGGGGAGTGGGACTGAATTGGAAAAGCTCTTTTCAAAGAGCTGGCAGAGACACGATGAGCAGAATGGCCTTTCTGTGCCGTATAATTCTGATTCTATGATTTATAAAATGAGCTCTGTTAAATCTTTATTGACCTTTAAATTACATACAGCATGTTGCATTACCACATTGCAAAGTACCTTTACAGCTCTAGAAAAAAAATATACCCACCACACTACTAAATGCCACATTGGATCCATATGGTCTGATAACCAGTGGGATATCGAGGTATGTGTCAATTCTCCAGCCCTCATATCCACACTCCAGACAACGCACATAGTCCTTCAGTTTCCCTTGGTACAACTGGTTGATGAGGTCAGCCTAAAATCAAAATTAAGGATCCAGTTAAATAAGATTGCCATAATTGCATTATGCAAGGTATGACAAGCATGTTGTAAATGTATTCACTATGAACAATGAATTGTCAGTTTTAATATTGAGTCGACAAACAAAGAAGAAATATGATCTATCCTTGCTTCATCCAACTTACGCCAAATCTATCAGTATGCATTACCTGTTCGGTTTGCTTCCATTTTTGTTCCAGTGCATCAAACATAACTCTGCATAGTTCTTGCACATCGTGCTGTTGCCAAGCTTGTGAAAGGATTAGGACAATAATTAGACTTCAATGAAAATCTTTTACAATTACAAAAAGAACAGAAATGTATTCCTTATGTTTTTATAGACTTATATAGATTATATGCATCACATTCCCATTAGACATACTGCACTGGATCATGTTAAACAATTCGACCGCACAAGCCTGGAGAACGAACAACTCTGCATAAAAAATGTTGACACTATTTTTAAAATCTAAATCTTACGCAAGTAGAACATGGAGATTGCACTAAATGCATTCATGTAAAATCCAGTCCAACCTTCACTACTATCCCAGCCAAAGCTCCGAGTCACATCCGTTGTTTCTACGGCTCTTTTCTTACTCGTCTGCAGTAAGACAAACAGTCTCTGGAGTTGGTACGGAATGCTAGTAACAGGATCTTCCTCCGAATCCTCAAATTCCCATCTGATAACAGAAAACATTCACAGGCTTGTTCCTCACACTTATTTGTCACATACGACTAAAAAGCTATATATATATATATAAGAAAATTATACATAAATATACAAAGCCATGAGATCAGATGCTTCAATGGTCAACGATTATACCCTACTTTTTAAATGGTATAACTAGAGCCTTCCTACAATTGGTAAACTGAAAGTACAATACTAAGCCACCAATCAGATAATATGGTTGAATAAGTGGATTTTCTTGTATTTGTCCTGCTCATGACTTGCTCTGCAGTTATTATATAAGTAGCTGATTTCACAGATTTCAGATCCTTCCCCGTGTTCAACTGCACCTATTAAATTGAGGGGCAATTACGTCCATTACTAGGATAACCACTGACCCTAATCCACCATCCTGCCCATTAGGACATGGTGACCTATGTGATCTCCAGTTGGATCCCAGTAATGTAACATTAGGTGGTGGTGGTGATCCAGATACTTTTCAATATGGCATTCAAAAAGTTTATTTAATACTTAATTTATCTCAGTTTAGCAGCTAAACCCAATTCCAAAAAGCTAATTCCTTTCCTTGTACACCACCAAACTGAGCCAGAAGTCCAAAACAACAGTCAGCATGTGGAAAACTCGTCTCAAATTATTTTTCCGTTGTCATAAATAAATTATTGCGTGTACAATAATTACATTCTATTTCTAATTGAATGCTAAAAAATTTCTGACTGAAAGTTAGCGCTCTATATCACCTGTCCTCTTCTTAGTTAGGATGGTCATCTGCAGATACTAAAGAACAACTTTAATACTAACTAGTTAAGTTGCACTTCTTGTCTGAGCAACTTACTCAAAATTGGCAAACTCATTCTCTACAGGATATCAGTGAATATCAGTCAGGGTTACTTTCCAATTGAAACACTCAGAAAGAAAAGAAAAGCATTACTTGTACAGTGCATTCCTGAACTCGGGAGTCATGAAGAGTGTTTGCAGTAAGCTGTTCAAATAGCAGGTCATGGCTTGATTTACCAATCCCACATAACCTGAAAACAAATGAACAGGAATTTATCAAGCATGGTTTCAGGGATCAGCATCAAAAGATCAAAGTAGCATTTTAACTACATCTTAGCAAAGAACAGTTTACACATGTATTATGGAAGGCACAATATAATAGTTCTGCTTTTCTGAAAGATAAAGCTTTTTTTAGAGAGGGTGGCAAGTATGTAAATTTTTTTTCCAGAAACCACTGAAACTCCTTAAATGTTAAAAAGGAATCAGATGGACACTATAAAAACATGAACAAAACCGGAGAGTGGGATTAGACAAGGTGGTTCATGTGGAGAAAAATTCGAAATACCAGTGCAGACTTGATGGGACAAAAAGCCTTCTCCATTGCTAACATTCTATGATTCTATACTGTACTTAAAAGGAGAAGTCTTTCAAAAGGAGGAACAAAGAGAAAAGTTGAAACTTGCTGTCAAAAGTACTCATTTGATCCCTCTTCGCCCCCCCACCCCCAAGTCAGTCCAAATAAAGCTGCATTGGGATGCGCACAGTACAATGAACAGGCAAACCCTGCTCACGGATAAACCGGGTTCAGACAAAGGAAGGGGAGAGGAAGAGGTCATTTGCAGAATGCCAGGTCCTGTGGTCAAAAAATAAATGTAAATTTCTCTAAAATAGTGTAAGTATTTTGCTATGCAGAAGGGTCATTGGAAGATTGAGGAATAAAACATCTTACATACTTGTTTAAACTTAATGTTTAGGAATGGGGTTGAGAGATAAGGTTGATTTTTAGTAACATGTAACATGGACGTTCCACCGCTAGGTGATGCTATCCCATTTTATAAATGCAACATTGGAGTCAGAAATAGCTCTTTATACAGACAGTTTGTGCAGCACTTGATACAATAATTACATGGCATCTTAAAACCTTCTCTTAACAAAATAAGCAACATTTTCTACAGCTCTAAAGTTATGTAATTGCATATTTCAAGATAGTAGATGGCTCCACAGAGCAATGTGGAGAAACATTTTGTATCACTGAGAAGGTGCTGTACGATTGATTACCCAGCTACCTCGTCTGAAAAAGATGCAGATTAATTTTAAAATATACTTCAACTTCTCAAGTGGATTCCATAACCATCCTATTCTTTGTTTAAAATCCTGTTGTATGCAAACAGCTTCTTGAGAAACAGTTTGCAGACTATTATGTCAGATGAGACAGAGGTGTATGTGCTTGTATTCTCACCAGTTTCTGACTTCCCCAGGATGGGTGAGTATGAATAGCTCTGACTGTTGTACTCCCCACAGCCAGCCGTGCTCTCCCTTTGTTGAGGATTAATGATCCTTTCTTGACAGCTGTCATCAAGGCCACTGCTGTCTGCTGCACCAGACTCATCCTAAGAAGATACAAGTTGTAAAAGTCTTCCTATGGATTTAGAAATCAATAATACTATCAATATAAGCACTTGTGAAGGAGGCAGATTAATTACAGAAATCACAAATTGAAGCAGGGAACTTTGGGTTTGCGTATAATCTGCCGACTAGTCAAATCCAGGATAAATAGCACTTAGGAGCAGACGCCACAGTAGGTTTTTCAAATCAAAGCAACTCTCTGGAGTGAGACACCCGCGCTGTTCTGATGAAACAGGCCATGCTGTACGAATAGTGCCAAATGGTAAACACATTAGAAACAAGCCTAGTTCCTCAAAAATAGTTGATGTTTCAGAGAAATTTTAGGAAGCTGAATAATTCGGCTAAATGAACAACAACAAAATTACATTTGTACAGCGCCTTTCACATCGGGAGGGCGTTGGACAAGGCGTTGGACAGTCAGTGTTTCAGACCCGAGCTGGGGATTGGGATGGGGAGGGTGGAGGGCAGGGCGAGGAAGGAAGGTGACGGAAGGCACTGTCGAAGAGGAGAGTCTTGAGATGGTGAGGGGGCGAGATGGAGGGACTGCGGAATGGAGTTCCAGAGGGTGGGGGCAGAAGGCCCACCCGCCAATGGTGGGGCAAGCGAGGCAGGGGATGCGAAACAGGCTGGAGTCCGCTGAGCAGAGGGAGCGAGCAGGTTAGGAGGTCGCAGAGGTAGGGGGGAGCAAGGCCATGGAGGGCCTTGAAAGTGAGGACCAGGATCTTGAACTGTATCCTCTGTGGGATGAGAAACCAGTGGGTTGGGTGAGGATGAAGGTGATAGGGTCACGGAGCCTAGTGCGGGGGAGGACACGGGCTGCAGAGTTCTGGATGATCTGCAACCTATGGAGAGAGGAGTTGGGGAGGCCGACAAGCAGGGAGTTGGCATAGCTGAACCTGGATGTAATGAAGGCGTGTATGAGGTATCTCAGCGGCCTGAGGTATGAGACAGTGGCAGAGCCAGGCGATGTTGCGGAGGTGGGGGAAGGCAGAACGGGTCATGGCACGGATGTGGGGGAAAAAGGACAGTTGAGGGTAAAACAAGACTTTTAGCTTCCTGACTTACTGCTGTTGCTGCCAGTGCCTGAGGTGCGGAGGCGCTGGCGTGAACCAATCAGGACTTAATGTCCGACAAGCAGTCTGTGAGGACAGCAGTGGGTCCTGTATTCGAGGGTGGAGGCAGAGAGGTAGAGTTGAGTGTCATCCGCACACATGTGGAAGTTGACCCCATGTCTGTGGATGATGTCACCAAGAGGGAGCATATAGATATTGAGGAGAGGGGCAAGGACAGATCCCTGAAGGACGCCACGCGTGACAGTGCGGGGGCTGGAGATGCCGTTAGTGGCGACAAAGTGGAGATGGTGGGAGAGGTAGGATTCGAAGCAGGCAAGGGCATGTCTGCAAAGATTGAGCTGAGAGGAGAGGTGGTGTAGAAAGATAGGATGGTCGACAATGTCGAAGGCTGCAGAGAGGTCAAGAAGGCAGAGTCCTGGTCGCAGATGTTCAGAATGTACTACTCCCGCTGAAATTATATTACTTATTATGCAGTAAAAATCACAGCTGGAGCAGGAGTAGTGCAGCAGATTTTTGTTTAAAAAACACTTCGTTGTTCACACTAGTTTTGGTAAGATTACGAGAAATCATGCTGAGAGTATTTTTCCACTCCGCCCATGGTTCTACTCTGTTCTTAATTAGTGTCAAAGAGATCAATTGCTGGGTAGATTGCATTCTCACAATATACCCCAGTACACTCACAATTTAATTGCTCTCTGTATTTCCCTTGGGCATCTTTAGCAGAGGGAATACTACAAATGATCTTCACCCCTAACTCTTTAAATTGGATTGAATAATAATAATCCTTGCATTTGATATACCGCTTTTCTTCAAGACGTCTCAAAGCGCTTCACAGAATATACTGCAAAGACTGTATATTTGTGGGCGAAACGCAGCAGCCAATTTCGCATAGCAGCGTCCCACAAACAGTCGGGGATTGAGTGACCAATTTATTATTATTTTTTCTTGAGGGATTATTATCAGGCTTGATAATTATTCATTTGGAAGAATTATGCAATTCTTTGATACAAACGTCAACAAAATGCCGGTTTACATCTTGCGATTTCCCATATGCTCCAGTTCACAAATGACCAGATAAACACTTGGCTGCCTAGGGATTTCTAACTAAATAGAAATCAATTTACCAATGCAAGTTGAGGCTGTTCACCATCTTTATCTGTGAGATGAAGAAAGTTTTTCTTTCCTGGTTCAAACCCAGCAGAACTAAGAGATGTTTCACTGCTGGAATCTAAAGGACTCTGAAAAAAAAATAAAACACTATGCAGTTATTTCCCGGGAACTTGTGGAATTTCTACTTAGGTTTGAGCTCAATATTAAAAAGCCAAAGAGACATTTAGCGTTTTGATCATTGAAGGCCTCCTAAACAAACAGTAAATTCCCACAAGATCATCAGGTTCTATATTTTTACGTCTCAACATGTTTTTGCAAGACATTTCTTATGGAACTAAAAAGGGAGGTAAGAGAAAAGATGACATTTCTTGTTAGCAGGATTAATTGTACTCCCAAGCAAATGCTCTGTTCTAAGGAATATATTTACTTTCAAATTCACCTGGTCTGCATTATTTAGTCCATTACCCCAGACCAACTCGAACGTGCCATTCACATAGCCTGTTTTAGATGACACATCATCAAAGAGGCGTTTCAGTGGAGTTGATGCTGGGAGGTTCAGAGTGAGGCGTTCAGTAACTGTCTTGGCATTGGTGGTGTCCTGAACAATACACAGCACCCGTGGTTCATCTGCTGCATTTTCTAACTGCATTTAAAAAGAAAAAGGTGCTATTTACAAATACTGTGCTGCATCCTCAATGTGTCAATTACAAAGTGTTTGATTGCAATAATTTAGGACAAAGTTCTCACTTAATAAATTCTAAAATTAAATTAATTAACACCACCACCAAAATCAGATTTGTACAGCCCTTTCACGTCGGGAGGACGTCGCAATTAAGGTACCTTGAAGCAAGACATGATAATGTCCCAGTTTCTATATTCCTGGTTATATGATTATTCAAAAGATTTGCACCAGTTGACATATTATGCTAAGTTCTTCATGCACATTCATACAACAACAACATACTATCCTTATCAACACAGGAGAGAAAGCCCAGTCTCTGGACATTTCCACAGATGCAATTAATGTTTCTCCTTGGTCGACCCATCAAGGTTCTCAATGTGCAAGAAGGATCCTGTTTCAGATTTTTCTTCTCAGATAACTTAGCATAGGCTGTCAAAATCCATGAACAAATGTACTCTCCGCTTAACAAAAGATAAAAACGAGTCCTTATATACTATAATTAAACTTACCCTGCACCCAGTGCTTTGATGCTTACCAATGTTTGCAGAGAAGGGCTCTGTTTTCTTAAAAACAAATTCAAGTGATTCTGAATTTTTCAGGCTAAACTTTGCTCAATACTTTCAAGTTACATCCCGGTTAATTAACAAACCATTGTCACTTCCAATGCTGCCTTAGTTTTTTTTAAGGTGACACCCAAATCTCCTCTAAATCACGATTACTCAGAATGCTTGCCACATAGCATTCAGTATGCTATTAAAGGATAACAGCATAATAAACACACATTGCTCGTGGGACATTTCATTCTATAGAAGATTCAGATAATGATGTATTGATTATATTTTGACACAACTATCATGGCTTCTTAAAATATATAGTCGTAAAACAGAAAAATAATGCTGAAAATTTAAGCATTCTCCAGCTTACTCTGGCAGGACATTGGTTCTTCCAATCATTGGTGTGAAGTAATTTCCTTTTAATTACATTGCACATTGGTAATCATAAAAAGAAAACAGCTTTTACAATAGCTACTAATAAACATCTACATACAATAGTATTAAAGAGAACCAAACAGCAACTCCGAAACATGAAAGCGATCTTGAACATTTGCCAACATTTCCCCAGAACGTCCTTGCAACATTCCCATACATGCACTTTTGGATGTCTATGGTGCAGTGCTATTTACAGGTTAGTACAGCCACAAGGGAACATATTCAAGCTCAATACATGTGAGAATTGCAGAGAAAGTAAACACAAACAACAGTGAGTAAGCACAGTAAACACCAAACTGTTAGCAGCAACACCGTAACCACACACCAACCATACAAGAATGAGAAAGATATAATTCATGACTTGATCAAATAAGCTCAAGGTCTTCCTCTCAAAAACATTACATTATTTTCTATTATTTTCATATCTTATGTGAATATACTTGAAATACTTGTAGATACAGCCATGTTACTTTGCCCCTTTTAGCACACCCCATCGCATCGTGCACCATGTAGATTTAAGATGTCAATAGAGATGAGTGGATACAGTTAGCAAGAAAGATTGGATGGATTAGTTTTTCTCGTTGGAGAAGATGACTGAGAGGGGACCTGATAAAGATATTTAAAATTATGAAAGGATTATCAAATAAGACAGACACTAATAGGCGGTTTGCATTTGTTGGTCAGTCCAAAATGTACAGACATATGTATAAAATAGCCAGCAGCCAGACCTCAAAGGGAGTATAGAAGGAATTTCTTCATGCAGAGAGTGGTGAGAATGTGGAACTCACTACGGAAGCTGTGGTTGAAGCAAAAATCATCAATTTACAGAAGAGGAACCTTGATGCAATCAGGAAGGAGAAAGGAATGGAAGGGATTCGGAGTGGCTCATATGGAGTATAAACACTGGCAGAACGGCCCTTTCCTACAGATTCCTATGTAAAACCAATTCAGAAGCTCAATTTCTTGATGTTAGATGTTGGAAAGTGCTCCACCATCTGTGTTAATGAAGTTATAATATTTTATGCAAAATAAGCTTCTAGATTTTGAACATTTGAAAATCCTCATCCTCACTTTTAAAGCCCTCCACAGTCTTGCTCCTCCCTACTTCTGGGACCTATTAACACCATACCAAGCTGTCCACTCCCTCCACTTGACTGGGCACTGGCCTACTTCATGTCCCTTGCCTTGCCCGTCCAACCATTAAGGTTGAGCCTTCACCTTTTCTGCCCCCAGCCTCTGGAATTCCACCCCTCTGCCTCACCCCTTCTCCTGCCACCTTCAAGGACTGTCTCAAGACTTTTCTTTTTGATCGTGCTTTCGGCCACCCTCCCAACCCCCCTGCCCCTCGATTCCAAACCCCAGCCCAGGTCGGGTGCAAACACTTAACTGTCCAACACCTTGGGATGCTCTTCTAACATGAAAAGCCCTATATAACAACAATATTACATTTGTATAGTGTCTTTCACGTCAGGAGGATGTACCAATATATAAATATAATTGTGTCGCTCCTGCTGTTCTCGCAATTCAGTAGCATATATAAGTCTAAATTTGGTAAGAATTGGGAGAATTTTGCAGGATTATTAGTTCCAGCACAACAAAATAATAATCGTTGCATTTGATATAGCACTTTTCACATCTTCTAGACGTTTCAAAGCACTTCACAGAATATACTGTAAAGTGAATTGACTGTATATTTGTGGGCGAAATGCGGCAGCCAATTGCACACAGCAGCGTCCCACAAACAGTCGTGGATTGAAATGACCAATTTATTATTGTTTTGTTTTGAGGGATCTGGCAATTTGTAGAACTAATAATATATTTAGCAAGATTATACCAACTGCAGCATTATTTAGCTATATTTATCTTACTCCTGTCCTTGACATTTACAGTTGCTTGTTTGAAGAGTAATATGATACGATTTTCTCATTCCCCTCAAAGTAATGAGCATGTATGTATATTTCCATTATTGTGCCTTTTTCTGTTTAATAATGTTTTTTCTAAATAACCTATTTTCTACATTTCAAAGAAAATTTTACTTCCAGCATACAATATAAACACACATGCACTAGTTCACATCATCCTCAGTGTTTTCTGTTCAGTTATTACACTATATATCTAGGTCAATTCTTAATATAGTAATGTACTGTCAATTGTCATCTCTATATGATGTTCCTCTACTATTTTACTACTTTAAGCACCTATAGAAATGTCTTCGGTTAGTATTATTTAAGCTTTATACAGAAGCTTCTAAACCCAGGTCATGCCCTTGTTAGTCAGCATGCCATTCACTCCTAGTCAATTACATTTTGCATCCAAACACAAATTCTACCTGGGAGAATTTCTTCTTCATCTCATCAAAGATACTTTGTCTGCAACTCCAAAATAAACCCTAAGACACACAACAACAGATAAAATTACAAAAATCAGAAGCTTTTTGAAATGAAATCTAGGTGATGAAAATAGTTATTTGAAGAGTCCATCTCAGGTGAAATTAAACCAGAACGGTACAAACAAGTGTAAAAAATGTGATTTTACTGAATTAATGAGAGTTTGCACTATTTTCTGTAGCTGTCCCGCAATTGCTTACCGCCCTGATCAAAGCTACATGTTATACCTGGTACAAGTATAGCAACAATGTTCAAATAATACTACAGTACAGTACCACTCTCACCGATCCCGACCCCCAGCTCGGGTCAAATCCCTGAATGTCCAGAGCCTTTGAATGTCCTCCCAACGTGAAGGGCGCTATACAAATGTAATTTGAATTGAATGTTGTCCAAGATCATCTGCCATGACACTGTTGGGAACAAGTTACCGCTTTCTGCATGCTGAAATCTCACCAAAAGGTGTTCCACTCTCTGAGGTCAGACCAAGACAATAAAACTAGCATTCCCTTGGAAGCTGCTCTTTCAGTACTTGTATTTCAGAAAGAGCAATTAATATAATGCAGTATAATCTGCAGAACAAGAGGCAATTTTATTAAGTGAAATAATATTCTGAAATATAACACCTAAAATTTTAGAATTTATACACTACTTAGATAACAAATATGAAAAATCATCACTCCTGTATTTGCCTTGCATTTAAATAAATCTAATCAAAGGCACCTGGTGTCAATGAACACCTTATCACATAGGTACGATTCAATAAACTTTCTAAACATAACTGCATAACTTTAAAGTATCAGCAAAGCTTACAAGCCTTATAGATTTAATTCACATGTCGCCATGAATTCGGCAGTATAATCAGATTAGGTGTATTTTTAACCACAGGTAGCATACAGTATTGCAGAATCAGACACGATTTAACCTCAGCATCTGCACAATGACAGGTGGACACTTTCTCTTCAATCGTAATTTTTTAAAAAAAGGAAACAAGTTTTGTTTTAAAAATCTAACATCTTGATTTATCAGAATCATCTCTAATTACAAATACACCCATAACCAGGACTAAATTGTAATCTTTCACAATTACAGCAGAATGCTAATTACTAGATATTGTATTTATTGTTGAGGAGTAACTTCTTAAACTCTCACCACTGTACCTGAATAAAAAAGTTGACAAATACGGCAAAGAAAAATGTGCTAACTTGTCTACAAATATTAAACCATGGCATAGTTTAACTGTGCTCATATTCCAAAAGTAGATGCCACTCACACATTTGACCTTGTAGTACACCCTTACAGATGGGAGGTAAAGACATAAGCAGAGATAAAAATAAAATTTAGATCCAATTAAGCTCTCCAACTCTACCTTAGCATTAATTAAGACTTCTCAATCCTAACTGACCCTTCAAAGAATCCAAAGTACTTAATAATCAGGTTTGATATTCTTCCCAGTTTAGTTGAACAGGATAAGTCTATTTGAACTGGCTATTGTGTAATTATCTCAGAACAGAATCTCAATGTACTTATTTAACCCTTAGCTTTGTTGGATACACTCACAGGCCTCGAAGCCTCTGCATGAGGAGCTGGGTTCCCAGTGCAGTACTGGGCGAGTGCTGATGATCAAAGCTGCAATCCTCCAGATGAGGCGTTATCAAGGCCTGTCATCGGGTGGATTTTAAAGGTCCTATGACACTATTCAAGAAAAGAAGAGGCTTCTCTGACGTCCTGGTCAACAATCATCCAGATTACACCTGTTATACACTTCACGTCTGTGAGTCAATAATTAATGTAAAAATTTAGATGTTTCAACACACAAGGCCTTATTCATACGCAACTGTTTCTCTGTAAAGCAACATAAAAACAGGAATACTCTGCAAAAAAACAGATAAATATCAATTCAATTCTTATACTCCCAAGCACAAACTTACTTGCGATTCCACTGGACAACCCTTCTTTCCTCTGAATCTAATTGCCATTAAAATATTCCCAAAAATTGTATGCATTTGTAATCTACACACTGAGCCTCCTATGGATTCCCACACTGCCAATACCCGACTGGAAGAAAGGCTCTTGTACACTGCAAAAGGCTTGGATTATTTGATGGCGGCTTGTATCGATATTTGTCAACAGCAGTATGAAGAAGTAATTTCCTGAAACCTAACAAACATCCATTTTCTTTTCAGCAATACTTATAGGGGAATCAATACCAGAAGTTCATGAAAAATTAGTTGCAACAGCTGCTAGTCCAGTTCACCTTAAGAAAACTGAAGTCAGAATACTTTCAACTGACTTGTTTCATACCACAAATCATTGTTTGGGCCACTTCCTGTTAAACTGGCCTATCAAAGGTCACTGCATTTGCATACTGCAAAAATGTGAACCTATTTTTGTATTGTTGTCTTTCCTCATTGCTGCTCGACTTACTAATGAAATATAGAAATAATGTAAACTAAGCAATGATTTATGGGGGCAGCTGTGTACAAGTTATGTATTATGCATTTCATTAGATATGATGTCTATTTTCCAGGCTCTATTAATTATGACTTTTACTATCAGTAGTGTGTAGGTATCCAATTTCTGATATATTAAAGAAGATAGAGTGAGTAGTGTTTTTTCCAGTGAATACAAGATTAAATTGTGGAAAATTGGAAGTCATTAAATTACAAATGTCATTTTCATTGGGATTTATCACAAATCAGAACAGAACGTTGTGGTGGATAATCACAATGATTGGGGAGGGGGGGGGGGGGGGGGGGGGCAGAAGAAAACCCTTTGCAAACAATAACAAATAGAAATATGGTTTCATCCATTATGACCTGAAACTCTGGAACTCCCTGCCTCAACCCCTCCACCTTCCCTCTCCATGTGCGTGTTCAGATCGTACCTGAAGACCTTTCTCATTAACCATGTCACCTCTGTCCCCCACCCCGCATCCCCCCAGCTCAGTATCAAACTCCACTCGTGTTAAGCCCTCTGAGACACTACCTTTGTGAAAGGCACTATATATGAGTGCAAAAATTGAAGCACTTTGGGACGTCCTCCCGACGTGAAAAGCGCTATATCAAATGCAAGGATTATTATTATTATTATAAGCTTTTGTTAACTCCTAGAATCATCTCCATCATTCTTAGCTACACATTACAAATGTTGACTCAACACAAGGTTTCAAGCTTCTCAAGTTGCATAGTATCTTGAAACTTGTGATAAAGTGCAAATTCCTGATCCAGCAGGAAGAAGCAATGATACTGTTGTGAAATGTCAAAGACAACATTTAGTATTAATTTATGTCAGTCAAGTAAACAATTACAAATCAGATCTAACACAATGCTGCTGGAAAATGGTTTCCTCTCACCAGTTTACACTCCAAACCAGCGACTACTGCAGAACATGGAGAAAACTGTTGAATACTTGCACTGGTGAGATGAAGAGGGATCTACATCCTTTTCTTAGGAAAAAAAAGTCAATGTTGCTGCGCTTAGCAACACTCCAAATGTTCAGTTGGGCCTGAATATTTACAGGGATAAGATGTTTAAATCTTCTACTACTAGGGCTTCCATTATTTAATAGTGTACAATATTTTCTACTGTTTAACAAAGGTGAACACATGTCAGCATACTAATTCAAACGTCAATTACTGCAAGTAATGTTCACAGATAATCTGCCACCCTGCTGATAGGCATAAAAGTCCCTGCAAGCCTCTCGGATTCCAAAGGAATTCCTTCAGAAAACTCCAGTGAACATTAAGTGTGCAGAGAGAAAGAAAGGTGCAGTCAGGGTCAAACTGCTCTTAGCCACCATGGCTGGATCAATGAGCCATAAATAAAAATAATAATAATCCTTGCATTTGATATAACGCCTTATCACGTCTTCAAGATATCTCAAAGTGCTTCGCGGAATATTCTGTAAAGTGAATTGACTTTATATTTTATGGGAGAATAACCTCAGCCAATTGCGCACAGCAGTGTCCCACACATAGCTGCACATTGAAGTGACCAATTTATTAGTTTGAAGGAATTATTACCCCCAGAAAAACAATCTGCCAATCGACTAACAATCAGATTCCTACTTAATGCCCAGGTAAACAGAGGCGTGTGGAGTAAGGAAACTTGCCCAACATTTCGCCCTGCCTGGGAACAGAACCCAGGTCTCTTGATTGCGAGTACTCTAACCACTGAGATACAGGACCCCAAATCACCAGAAAACAAATCCTCCCACCGCCCCCAATGTGTAACAAACTGAACAACTAAATATTAAGACAGTATTTACTATTTACTAAAATACCCCAAAAGAATTTACAGTATAATCTATGAAAGGGTGATTAATGCTAAAAAGACCCACAGAAGAATAGGCTTCCCAACATTACACTGTAATGCTGCAGACAATTCGCATGATAAACAGAAATTTTCACAAGCAATGAATTAAGCTTAAAATTAATGTGGGAGAAAGGAGAGGATAGAATCCTATTTTAATTGTGAACATTATCAACTGTTTCACAAAATCAATAAAAAATATACAAAAGATTTTGCTCCAGTAATATCCGATTGATTGTTTTATATCTGCTGCGTGGGAGGGCGGGTGGATTGAGAGGAAAAGAGATGCAGGAAAAAAGTGCATTCAATACTGACTTGCAGACCACCTGTGGTCAAACGCAGAGGCCAAATCCAGAGGAAAGCCATTTTGTACCATCTAAAAATGCAAGCTTTCCAAACCTTAAAGGTATCATCCTCAAGATTTGTCTCTTTTAGAAATATTCATTTAAGTGATACTATTATCAAGACTCTTGCAATATTTTTCACTTAGTAGAAAACAGTATGTACTGTACCAACAAATTGAAACCAGTGCCAAACACTGTTTGTTGTGTGGTAGGACTTCACATGGCACTAGTCCAAAGGGCAGAGCACCCAGTTATGAAGGCCGAAGTGAAGATACAAATCAAATTTTAGCAGATTGGGATTCAACCAGTTTTAATTATATTTTATTCTGTATCAAATTAGTGGAGTCC